GTATGTATGTATGTATGTATGTATGTATGTATGTATGTATGTATGTACAATTGATCATTTTATTTCTGACTTATATTTTTGTGCTGACTAGGTGGTTGGTGGGCTGTCAGTAGCTTTGGACAAATGACAGGTGTAGTTGCCATAGAGATGGAGAACAACTCCTACATCCATGCTCTGGATACTGGGCTCTTTACTCTTGGTGCACCACACAAAGGTAAGAGACTGGGATTATGACTAATTTGATCAACTTTGTCATAAACTATATTTCATACATTCTGTGATCACTTTTACAGGATAAAATCAGTTTTCAAACTGTATCCAAGAATATATTCTGTGCCGGTGTTCCCAGACAAGCTGTTTTCTTTTGTCAAACAAAAGAATCTCATCCTGTGCTTCTCTCATACTTAATTAAGCTATTACGAGTAAGTGAATGTACCAATGTTTAGAGGGTATGTTAAGTTTTAGAATGTATGGACTTTATTGTTTGTATGAGTTTATGTAGAATTGAAGACCAGGACTTTAGGTAGGGTGAGGAGTGATAATCCTCTGGTTTATGATAAGGTGATACTGCAATTTGTGGTTGAAAAAAAGCAGTGACTTTATGGGGATTTTTGTCATAATATGTAATTAGAACCAATGTAATGAGGAAAAGGATTAGTGTGGTATTCCCAGAAAGACAGCCCTCACAGTTTATACACAACTTCCTGTATTGTTTAATTTTATAGTCTGATATTTAATTAACAAAACAGTTTGTTTAAATTTGAATTCAACAAGCATTTTGAGTGTGAAGTTAGATATTTAATTGGTGAAACCAGCCAGCTACAAAAAAAAAGCCTGAACAGATGTTGAGTCAGAGAAAGGGATGGACAGCTTTTAACTTCTTTTTGCCTTTAGGCACTTCTGAAGCAGCCATGCTCATTGAAAAAGACTGCTGTGGGAGAGACACTTGTAACAATTAATTCAGCTTAGTTTAGTCAGAACCGTTGAATTTGGCTAGGGGGTTGGAACATCCAATTCCTTCAGTGGGCCCTCATCCCGCGCATACACATAAGCCTGTTTCTAAGAGATGAAAGAGACCACAAGATTGAGTGTGTAGAAAGGCAGATTAAAGATTTTCTTCTTTCCCTTCTTCACTGCATCTCACACCAAACTGGATTTTTAGTCTCATATAAAGCTGCAAAATTATCCACACTCACCTTGAGGTTAAAGGAGCCTTTTTGATGATGTCTGTCACCAAAGAGGGTCACACTGTGACAAAATCTGAAGATAATCAGCCTTTTAAAAGAGGCATGAATGCCACTTTTTTAACCTCAGACTGGGCCTGATGCCTGCATGACATACAACAGTTTCTTCAAAGCTTTGATTTATTGTAAAAATCAAAATGTGGCCTAATTCCAGACAGATAACAGAGCCAAGAAAGCACAATTACCTCAGGGGGGCTTATAATCAAATAAAGAAGTAGAATTTGAGTCATCTCGTAGGATAAACTTGTACTTAAAAAAAAAAAGGCACATTTTAATGACACCACAAAGCTGCTTTTAAAACATACTTACATCTTCAATTTCACAGAGCAATATGCCCTCCCCACTTATTCAACACTACTGATATTAATGGGTTAAGGAGTGGGTTCAAATGTAAAAGAGTTTGATTTGTTCCAGATGATGAGGGGCCAGACCCACCAGAACAGTTTACTGCCGTCAAGCTCTCAGACTCTCGGTGAGTACTTGAAGACATAATACAACTGTATGGCATCTGGGTTTGTGTATGTTTTGCTTTCACATTCGTATTAAATGTCTGTTCTGATTTACTAAATGAACCGAGTCGATGCCAGCCAACAGGAACGCAGTCCTATTGGATGTGCTGCCTGTTGCCGAGCCGTTTCTCATGTATTAGGTTCAGAGATGGATTCCTACTCTTAAGTTTACCTCATCATGAAGACCAAACAATCTTTCAAGGAAAACAATGATGCAGTTTTTCTGTTACAGGATGGCATTAAAATCTGGATATGGAAAGTACCTGGGCATAAACTCTGACAATTTGGTGGTCGGACGCTCAGATGCCATTGGCTCCCGGGAACAGTGGGAGCCGGTCTTTCAGGATGTGAGTAAATCATTCCAGTCTACTTCTCTTTATCCATGCGTTTCAGGGAAGATGTGCAGATATGTTGCATATATGTTTATACTTAGGCTTTAGTTGGTTGCCTTCTTTATTTGATGCATTGGTGAGATATTTACTTATGTATTTCTTGCCGTCCTCATTTAATTACCAGACTAATAAAGTTTATCTACCCAAATAAGACAGTGCTTTTAAACTGTAAATGCTGCCTTTTGGGACTTCTCTTGAGACTCTCAGTTAGCATATCTAGTGCTAAAAGCAGTCTTGATTCAAAATGAGAACCCTCTTGTGTTTAATTACCTTTATTATCCGAGTATCTGCCAGCAAACACTTGGTGGGCTGTAGGTTTGTTCCATTTGTTCTCAGCCTTAAGTATGTTCAGTTGGGGGGTTTTATAGTCCGAGGAGATTGCTTGGTTGCACTTGTTTAAAAAAAAAAAAAAAAAAAAAAAAGGATTATTGGATTGTGCAAATGTTCATGTTTGTGGCATGTTTGTTAATGATGTTCTTCTTTGGTTTGAATGTATCAAAAAAATCTGTGTGTTGTGGTTTTGAGAGCACGGTTGGCCACGTTTAACACATAAATAGAACTAATCACACATGTTGATATATCTTTAGAGTATGCATAAAATATGTCCACATGGACATGCAAATATAAATAAAAAACGATTATAAACAGGTTTTGCAAGTATGATGACTTTGATCATTTTGCAGAAAATATCTCCCTTAACACAGCAGCACACAACTCGCCTTCCCATTTTGTTTTAAACTAGAGACATCCAATCTTTAGCAAACTTTGATAACAAACACAAGTTCTGTGTAAAACACTGCCTTCACTTCTGTTTTGTTTCTGTTCTGCCTCAGGGAAAAATGGCCCTAATGGCAGCAAATAGCTGTTTCATCTCCTACAGTGAGGATGGGGACATTGTGGCTAAGAGCAAGACAGCAGGGGATGGTGAGATGCTCAAGGTGATGCACATGTTGTCTTCTTCCCAAGGTTGCATATTAATCCAGTTTTTTATTGCTTGTAGTCTCTGCAGGGACTTGACAGGTGAAAGTAAAGAACATTGTGTTTGTGAATAAGAAGGTGTTAATGAACACACAACCTCTGTCTCTGTATGGTCCCCCCCCCACATGATGAACAGATTCGAACAAACACAGAACGAGACATCAAACCCAAAGACGACATTGCAGACGAGGACAGGGGCAACGTGAAATCCTGTGAGATTAACTATATGTATGTACCCTTCTCTTATTTTTTAACATATTGATAATTTCATATCAAAGTTAACAACATTTTTAATGAATGTGCAGAATTTTAAGGTTTGGTAGGTTTTTTTTAATATAATTTTGTAGATGCAGTTTTCTCTGGATCATTAAATCCATTTATTCCCAAGATTTTGTCACATGCAGTATAGAAGCCTTACATCTCACTGTGTGTTGACACTTTATAGTTTAAGCAGTGACACCTTGGAGCCTCCTCTGGAATGTGCACTACAATCAGTACTCCATTCAGATGGAGGCAGTGCCATGCTGCCCATTTTTCTTAGATTGTGTGGGTCTGCACTCGTGAGATTTTGAAAACTAAATCGCACGCTTGAACGAGATCACGCCTTTAAGCATCTGCCTCATCAATCCCACGCCTCAAAGGTGCAATTGATGGTCTGCTGTTAGAGGGTGATGAGAAAGCAGGCAACGGCACATTTCAGCCCCCGATACTGCAAGTGTGTTATATACAGCCTGTCGGTGGCCTATTAAGTTCCAGGCAATATGTCTGAAGCAGTGTTTTGCCTGGCATTCTTTGCCTTGTGTTCCCACTCTATTATTTGCTTTAGATGAATGCAGCGGAAATGGACTCATCATGCTGACATGTTGATAATAGCTGCCCTTGAGCCTGTGTCTTGATGTAGTGTTCAGCTCCTGAAATGCTTTTCAGGATGGAGAGCAGTCTGGGGATCATAAAACACAGGCTTAGCAAAGAGGAACTAAATATCAAAAGTTTCTAACAAGAGGAAAGAAGCACTATGGAAGATACTAGAATAAATTACAAAGATAGCTTTCATTGAAATAACTCATTTATTCAAAGCCCTTCCAGTGGCTGTAATATACATTCTGCATCATGCAGTGATGAAGCTGTCACTCTGATTAATACAGAGAAAGGTACTTCTCTGTCTCGGGTTAAACTTATTTACTTGAGTGTACATTTAAATGAGCTCACAGCTTATGCGGTTGGGCTCAGTCACTCATTTCCCTGCCGCCAGAGTCAAAATAAAGGTACTCTGCCACATTTAATACTTCTTCACATTATCCCAGGTCTCTTTCATTAATTAAAATTAAGCAGCTTAGAGCCACAGTCGGTTCTTAAAGTTGTAAGAATTCTTACACTCTCCAGTAGGCTTGTTGAAGGTTAGGAAGGTGATGAGTCATTTTCTGTGCGTATGCCTTTGTCTGTTGTCTTGTAATTGTTTGTTTTTCATATTACAGAAAGAAGTTTCAGAGTTTTCAAGATCAGCGGCTCAGAGTTAACGAGGAAGCCCCCTCTTCTCTAAAGAAAGCCAGAACAGATGGAAAATTTCACGAAGCTTTGCTTGACAGGTATTCAAAAAAGGGTTTTTGGGGGACTTTTGATTTACTCGTCCTCCAAACTTCACTTTGAACTAAGCTTTTTTTTTGTGAGCTTGTTAATAAATCCTCAAACTGGCAAAGGTAATTTATTTCTACTCCAGCTCTAATCTTTGAGCAAATAAGCTTATTATGCCCTGACTGCCACCCACAGTAAGCTTTAGGTGATGTGCCAACCTCCAGAATATGTTTAAAGAACACATTGCTTATTTTCTTTTAGGTCATACCCTCAAATTTTTACTGAATTGATTTAATGTCAAAGACATAATCCACTTATAATAAAAGCAAAGACATTAAACGTTGATATCACCTCCTATATATAAAAAAAATCAATTTTGCACATAGTCAACCGTCAAGTCTGAAACAAAATAGAACTCAAACACTTGTTTTGAAGAGGTACCATTCTGTTTTGTGAGGGACCTTGAATCACAGATAATTGCTGTCGCCAGTTCTCACTGTCCTTCAGTTGTCAAACCCATGACATAAGTTGTTCAAGGCCCAATGCAAAAAGAAACTTGGCAGTTCACAGAGAAGCCTGTCAGAACACTGAAAGTGCCTTGATCTAAAGAATATGTTGATTGCAAACATTTCAAGATCAAAACTCAAAAATTAGCTGTAGAACCGTTTTTTTATGATGCCCCCTGTAGAACTGCCTAACTGTTGGAGGTACCCAACCCCTCAATGATTTGCACATACCCCCCCCCCCAAAAAAACTACTAAAACTTGATATTTTGTTGACCTATTTGAAAGATCGATAATTGCAATGTATTTTTTGTTTACAGGAGAAGCAAAATGAAAGCTGACAGGTACTGCAAATGAAGACTCAATGGATTTCAACCTTTAATTGTATAATTCTTTTAAATTCTGCGATTTCATGTGGTATCTTTGTTATTGCATTTTGAATAAATCAATCACTCTTTCATAAGCTTTGTTTTCTTTTGTCTATTGACACATCACGATTATACTTTGTCGTATGCTATACCTTTTAGGAATTTTAGGTACCTACTGATCTGTTTGTATGAAAAACCTGATTGTCAAGATGTAATTTATAGGATGTATGCAACACTTGACAGATGTTCAATAGGGAGTTGTGCTAGTTCTTGCATGCTTATTAAACGGCATATTCTCCCTGTTGTTGAGCTTGGAACCATATTAAAGCAATTATTGTATTCCTTACTATTGGTAAAGCATCAGTGGATAATTTAAGCAATCTCAGGGTACCTTCGATGTAGAGTATGTGTCTAGTTAATTTCAGGTAATTGCATTAAAATATATACTGTGACATTACTCAATGAGGACAGAAAACACACGTTTAAGTGATTGTGTTTTACATGTCACTGTAAAATACGTGGTTTTAATCAGTCCATGTTGTGGCCATGAAGTTTGCAAAGCACAGTTTAGCTGATATAAAAAACCAAATGTAAAGATACTCAGTGAGACCAAACTATGGTTAGCAAACATGTTTAAACACTGTTTAAACAAAAAAAAAAGGTAGGTGTCACATGAGGAAATGAATGCTATCAACCATGAGTGGTTTTGAAGCTTACTTTCAGATCCGCATGGAACAAACCACTGGCCTTTCGTCCAAGGGGTGCTTCGAAGCTTTGAGAATCTAATGTAGCTACTACTCTTGGGATTTTGTGAAAATGACCATTCAGGTAGTGTATTTATGATTTAATCAGAGAGGTGCATGATTAATTACCTTTTCCACGGCAAAAGACGATGCAGACATATCTTTGTGAATCTGCTGTTTCCCATCTTACAAAACAGATCAGCTCAGCGTCACGAGGTAAACAGAAGCCACTTCCGCAATCAACTTAGACCCATAAACAAATGACCCCGGACTCTCTGCCAGCTGTTTGAGTGAAGAGCCCCAAAATGGGTCACCGTGGTCTCCTTATTTTAGCTGCCTTGTGCTCCGTTGCGAGGGCCCAGTTTGTGCCGCCGGTAAGCGACATTTCTGCTCCGTCAGTTTACTCTTTAAAATAGTGTTGTTTTGACTGCATTATCTCGCCGTACTGATGGTTTCTACTCAGTCTCCTAATGTCTGTTTACGCGAATCTTAAAATGCCTCTTTGTTTATAGTATACAGAAGACTGTCGGACAGGCATGTACCCACCAAATGGCCCAACGTAAGTGTCAGAAATCGAGACCAACTCTAACAGAAAATCTGCGTGTTGGGTCAGCTGAGTCACGCGTGTTTTGTAACACCTGTAACCGAAATGTGCTGCTTTCACTAGTTCCTCGTAAATTTCAATATTTAACTCGATGTTCAGTTACAATAAGTCAGTTGCTTTATGCGAGTTATTGGTTAATGTATTTGTTACTTTGCTTAAGCTTAACGACATGGATGAAAAAAGGAAGCGAAAGCCATTTCTGCACGAGTCTGTCCTGTCTTCTGTAACAACCCAGGGTCATCATGTTATCTATCAGTGTAGCAATCAGTGTTGAAACTACGAACATAGTGATCAGTTAATCAATTGAGCAGAAATGCTGAATAATCTTCTGCTGGACTTTTCTGAACCTTGGCTGCATTTAATCAATATTTACTTCAGAGCAAGACTAACTTTGCCAGCATCCAAAATAAAGTTTTTGTTAAAAAAATTAAGAAAATATGCAGATTGCAGGCTAATATTTGATTTGTTACACATTGGTTAGTGTAATGATACAATGGTGCAAGTGAAGGAATCTTGCAGGGAAAAGAAAATTTTACATGTTACAAATTCATGCATGAAGGCCTTAAACCACTGTACTGCAGTTGAATGGGATATTCATGGCAGCACACATCAGTATTTTTCACAGCTTTCCTTTTCTGACCAGGGTCCGAGGAGCCGTTGGCTGGTACACAGTGGACCTCGACTTAGCACCCAGCAAGAGATGGGCGGCTGTGATCACAGACAAAAAAGATTATGTGAGCTTGTTTGGAAGTTCTTCAGCATAAGTTTAAAGTTTCACAGGAATGTCACTCACGACCTTCTTTCCAGCTGGTAGACATGATTCAAGCCATCAGAGACTTGGCTGATGCTTTTGTGCCCAGTGGAAGGCTGATAGAGCTGGTTGACATCACACTGGTGGGTGCCGTTTCATCTTCTGAACTATCTTTTGTCAGTAAGTCTGTTCTGTTTTTGTTTTCTTATGAAAGGTTTTACAATTGCTGTTTTTGTATGGTTTGCAGCCTTTAATGGTGGACACGCTACCAAACCCTTTTGCTGATGAAATAAGAGGAATTGCAGCTGTTTCAGGAGTTCCTCTTGGTAAAAAAGAAAATACATTAAAGCATAAAGGAAAAATCTGCACGGACTAATAATTACACTGTTGCTTGTTTTTTGGTCATTCCTATAATTACAGGTGAAGTTGTCCTGTTCAACATCTTCTATGAGGTGTTCACTGTGTGCACCTCAATCGTTGCTGAAGATGATAAAGGTGAGTCAGCAGGATGTAGTTCAGTCAAGAAGATGGTCTGCTGAGCAGTGCTGATGTTTGGTGTCTCTCTACAGGTAACCTCCTGCACGGGAGAAATTTAGATTTTGGATTATTTATGGGGTAAGAACATCACTGTTTCTACTCTTTGATTAATTCTTTTTTAAGTTTTGGCACAGATGGGTGTAAGAATGTTGTCTTCTTTCCAGCTGGGATGTCAAAAACAAGTCTTGGACCATCAGTGAGAAGCTGAAGCCTTTAGTTGTCAACCTGGACTTCAAAAGAAACAACCAGACTGTATTTAAGTCCACAAACTTTGCTGGATATGTTGGCATGCTCACTGGCATTAAGCCTGTAAGTCATTTTGCATGAAGGCTTAAAACCCAGACATAAGACCATAAAGCACCACTGACGGCAAACTATCGTGTTTTGAGTTTTGGTTGGATGAAAGATTAACCCCCATCACTATCCTTTTTTTTTTTCTCCCAGCACATCTTCACTTTGACTATGAATGAGCGCTTCAGCCTGGATGGAGGATACATTGGTGAGTTATCCACTTTAACTTTGCTATAAATTAAGTGTTTTTGGGACTTCCTTTCACCCATGTCTCTCTGTGTTTACTGCAGGGATCCTGGAGTGGATCTTGGGTAAAAGAGATGGCGTGTGGATGAGCTTTCTCACTCGATCTGTCCTCGAGAATGCAAACAGGTAACCTTCCTTTATCTCTAAAGATTATTTGTGGAGTATTTGGCCACCGTATAGAGTATCTGGCAACAGCAATACTATGTGCCTTTTTCTCATGTCATGGCAGGTATGTTTACTATGAATAACCTCTTTAAAAAGCGAGTGCATTTGTGCACAGAAAATGCCCTTAGTGAGACAGATCTCTTTTTTACCAGCTATGAAGAAGCCAAAAGTCTGCTGGCTCAGACCAAAATGCTTGCTCCAGCCTACTTCATCCTTGGAGGAAACCAAACAGGGCAGGGCTGCATCATCACCAGATCCAGACTGCTCAGCATAGATGTCTTGGAGTAAGTACTTTGGAGCATCCATTTGAAAGCAGAATTCTGTATAATATAGTAATGAGAAACTTGTTATGACAAGTTTCTTATGACACATTTATCTCATGTGACAGTTGCTCAACTTGATGATTATGACACCTCACGTGTCAGATCACTAGATTGAAGCATTTCACAATAGGTCACAGTGTTCAGGCTCTCACTGACTCGTTGTACATCAGGATCGACGTGAAGCTGGGCCGCTGGTACGTCCTGGAGACGAACTACGATCACTGGAAGGAGCCCTTTTTCCTGGATGATCGCAGGACTCCTGGCATGAAGTGTATGAACCAGACCACACAGGCAGTGAGTACTGAGGGTGGGCCACTGAATACAGCTTTAGTCTCCAGATTTTAGTGTTGATCCTTTTTTCTTTCCGCAGAACATTTCACTGAATACACTGTATGACGTTCTCTCCACCAAACCAATGTTAAACAAGGTGAGCTTGTGGATGCAGTTTTATGCACTGAAAACTGGTAAACGTCAGTGTTTATTTAGTTAAAGGTCTTTTTAATGTCATTCCAGTTAACCACTTACACTACACTGATGCAAGTCTCTGAGGGGAAATTGGAGTCATACATCCGGGACTGCCCGAGCCCATGCATGCCCTGGTGATCATCCATCCCACTGACCCCTGATCAGTTTGGATCCACTTATCTGCATGGAGACCGTCTTGACTGATCTTGTCATAAAACTCAAAGCTTTGAGTGTTTGCACAAAGACCTAATAAGACCAGTTAAACCTTACACTGTTTAAATGCAGACTAAAGAGATATTTTATACTTAAAAGAAACCAAATTCAACTTTGTTTTGTGATGTAAGGGAAATTGGCAACAAAGTGAATAAGACCTGTAACTGTTTTACTGGCATTCTATTTGTATTATTTGTAAAAGTCCATTTGTTTAGGATCTCTTAGAAAGAGCAATTAACTTTAAATATGACTGTTTTGTCACATTTCTAAAACTGTGATCAAGGTTATCAAAATAATAGTTTAACAGCTAACAGTTGATTTTTCCAGCTGATACTGACATATTCATCACTTTTCCCCGTTTAGATTATTTCCAGACTTTATGCTTTATATTTTTGTTTGTTTTTCATCTCAATCTTTGTGATTACCTCTGACATTTCTTATTATTTTTTGTCACTTACAGAACAATTGATCAAAAGTAAATCCAATTTTCAGAGTTACCATTTGCCTCTAAATATTAAAATGCTTAACTGAAAACAGCGGTTTTGTTGGCTGGTTCAGATACTGGAATCTTGTTTACCACAAGACATTTGAAAATACACTTTAATGTTTAATAAAAAATGGACTCAGTTATTTGTTGTACAAACATTTAAGATGATAGCAACCTTAAAGTCTCAGAGATGGAGTGTATGTGTTGCATGCTTCAGAAAATACACCTCATCACCAGAAATGAAGCAACACATAGTTAAAGCTTATAACTGTAATCAACATTTTATTTAAATTCAAATGACAAGGACTAATCATTAACAAGAAAAACAGAGCTGAGTAGAAAGGTGTGTTTTAGAGGGATACATTTTTTAGGTTAGTGTGAGGGGGAACGATTAGCAGCTATGGCTAAACTTTCTTCTTGTTTTCATCTCTGTAAAATCAAGAATCAAGTGCAGAAAATAGGAGATGTGCAACTGTAGGGCCAGAAAGTACTAATAAAACATGAAAAAACTGATCCCAGAACCAAGAAAAGGAAAAAGGTCTGATCTGATTACAGTATGACAAAACAAAATGAAAACACAGACTTAACTGTTGATAATCAGCAGCAAGAGATAGCCCCACCCCAAAGATTAAAAAAAAAATTCACATTAAGCAGTAAAGAATAAAATATTTCTAAGTGTTAACTGTGTGTTGAAGTTCTGTCACAGTTCATTTGTGACAACAAATATGTAACTTTGCTCCTTTAAAGCAGCATCTTAGAAATGAACAATCATCCAGACAAGATTGAAAGTTTAAGCACTATGTCATTAAAAACTGCAGTTTGAGACATCAGTATAATTCTTCACTTCTTCTGGACCCTAACGGTCTCTGGAAAAGCAAAGGAAAGCTCAAGTTACTTGAACAAATCTAAACCTTTTGTGTATAGATAAAACAGTCTGGATTGAAGCAGAGCTAACACCTAACCGGTGTCTTTCGTACCTGGCTCCTTTAACGCCTGTCCATTTCCCACCAGCCCACTTAACATTTCAGGGTTACCATTGAGGATTTCCACAGAGAGGTTGTTGTTCTGCTGCTCCTCCACTATTCTCTTCTGAAGCTCCTCCTGATAAAACATGGTACACAGATGGCATTACTCATTTGAATTTTTCCATTTCTCCTCTTTCTCATCAAACTAAGTTGATGAAAAAGAGATGCTTTTCTCTTACACACCTCACACATGACGGTCAGCTGCAGTGGCAGGTCATCCACCTTAACAAAGTCTTCCTCATCAGACTTCTGGCTTGCATTTCCTGATCCCATCTCCTGTGTGAAAAAAGAAAGAAATCAGAACGGCAATAACAACAAGGTAAGGAGTTAAATGAGACCAGCGTGAACACAAATGGTCGTACATCTACGCTGATGAGGACAGGCGAGTCCGTGTCAGTGCTACTGGTGGTTGTTGACTCCTTGGGGGCATCCTGACTCTGGCAGACAGCGGAATCTCCCTCTGTAGCAGCTGTACTCTCCTCCGCAGGGCTCTGACATTCCAGCACAGTGTGCTCCTCCACAGTGGTGTCTGCAGTCCCAGGTGACTTAATGGTCTCTGTAAGCCAAAATATTTGTATTTCAAAATAAACCGAATAGAACGGTCAAATTATCTTCAAAAACACAAAAGCAGGTAGAAATTTTAGGCCTTGCCGCTGTCACTCTCTGAGCTCTTCTGGTCCTGCTTTTGCTCCTGGATTTCGGTACAGGTAGTCCCCTGAACAACAGAACAATTATACCGGTCAGACAGCAAAGGAGGAGTTTTAATAGCGTTCGGTGTGACAGCTAGTTTGACCACGGTGCTGACCTCCTGCTCAACCTGCCCATCAGAAGAAAACTGCAAAGATGTCTGCACATCTACAGGCCCAGCTTCAAACTCCTCCATTTCCTCCTCCTCGTTCTCATCCTCCCCGCTGCCGTAGTTTGTCAGGGCCTGAGTCTCCGCTTTGGAAAGACCTGACAAGAAACAACAACATTTGGATACCATGACCAGAAACTACAATAAGTACACAGATGAAAGTTATTCATCATCATACCATAATATATGCTAAACAAACTTTATTTCCTTTAATTCCCCCCACTAACTTATAGAGAGAGGCACTGCTGCTCCATGCCCTTCACCCTCATCCTCCTCTTCCACATCTGAAGCTTCACTGCTCTTGTCGTTCTTTGTCTCTGTGTGCAGGTACAGCTCCTGGAGTCCAGAGGGTGCTTCTTGCTCAGCCTCGTCTTGATCCTTGAGGAAAAGGAAAACATGACTAGGGCCCACATCTCTGCTTTTTAAGAAACAAGAAATATTTCTGTATTGGTATGAAAATGACCTACCTTGTCTTCATCAGCGGATGTAAGAGAAACTGATTTATCTGTCCCAGAAACTGCAGTCTCCTGGATCCAAGAATGTATTAGATCAAAGTCAGATTGGTGCCATTCAGTCTTTAGGAACTGAAAAAGAAAATGCCGGAAAGAAAATGCCATACCTCGGGACTGACTTTAGCTTTACCGGGTTGTTCAGACCTTTTCTTATTTTTTGGTTTTGCAGACGGGGTGATGCTGCTGCTGTTGTCCAAATCCTGCATGAGCCTAAAGAAAGCCAGCTCATTGAAGAGGATCTCTGAGATCTCAACCAGCAAGTCCTCCCCACAGTCCTTTAGGGTACGGCCCACATATTTACTCAGAGAGTCCTGGACCAGAACAAATGAAGAATTAGAGGTGTTTTAACGTTATTTTCCTTAGAACTGGCCTGAAGTGTTTGAAGAAAGTGGAATCCTACCTGCAGTATGCCTCCCAGCTGCCGGTGGAAAAAGCGAACAAACTCCTTACTCTCGTCGTTCTGCTGGGTGAGAGCGAGGACCATGCGCCGCACAGATGTGAGCAACTGATGTGAACACAGCTCGTCCATGTTTTCCTGAGGGCCAACAGCAGACTTGTTCAACACCACTGATGAACACAAATTATCAATAATAACCACCAATGGGGCACACTTAATCTTCTTTATTTATGTATTGATTGTAGAGTCAAATGTAAAAAAAACTCTTGAATGATTTCAAACCTAAACATTTCCAAATTCTAAATTGGCACAGTTAGCCTACCTTGAGAAAGGGAATGACTTCAGTCATGATGGCTTTGATCTGGCGATCCAACTGTTGGGTGTCAATCTGGGGGCAGTGCACATCTCCAGATGCCCCACCTGATAATGGATGTCATATAGGGATAGAAATTTAGCTGATTTTGAACGATCAAATGAAAGACCACAATCATGCTGCAACGGGTCTTTGCACACAAGCAGCGTCATGAGACTGGATACCTTCCACTGGGTCAGCATGGTTAGCAGAGGGGCGGTCAGTGTTTGAGACTTCAGAACAGCCCACACCTGCAGTGCTGGTGTTGCAGGGGTTAAACTCAGCTTTGAGCTTCATGCGCTCATATTCCCTAATCCTTGCCAGAGCTTTGTCTAAATGAATCACCGTGTTGCCTATCATAGTGGCATAGAGAGGAAAGCAAGGGGAGAGACAGAGGGGACATGTAAAGTTCAAAATCAAAGTAAAAGAAAAAGGGAAGAATGCAATAGACATTAAAGCATCTCCAACTAAGTTTACACTGCAGGACCAAATCATGCAATCCACAAATTTGCTGTAGTAGCATTTACTTTTATAAGTCCTAAAGTGTAAACTAGTTTGTTTACCAAAGCAAATCTTAAGACGCCCCTCATTGCAAACAGAGGTTTGAAAAATAGTTTGTGGCAGTAAGCAAAGCATTTCAGTTATGTGGAGCTAAAAGGTTACACATGCACAACCATACCCAGGTCATCATTGGCAAAAGCCTCCAGGTTGGACGAGGTTGACATGTTGCTGTCATTATCTAAACATTCTGCAGCACCCCTCTTCTTTGTTGCATCCATTTCATGTCTCAAGTTCTTCTCTACCACCTCCTGAAAAAGAAGAGCAATTTATTCATTTTCAGGTCTGGCTTATGGTCACACCTGACTGACCTGTTAACATAAATTCACTTTACAAACCACCTTAAATCCACTTAAAGTATCCGAGAAGCAAGAGGGATGGAGAGCACATATTAAGCACTGTAATGGTACACTCACCTGCCATTTGTCACACTTGAAAAATAAGACATTATACCCATCATTCTTGAACAATGACAACATAGACAAAAGACCTGTCACTTAATTAGTTCAACTTTGGGATCATGAAGCAGAGCAAACACATGTCTAATAAAGCAGAATTGACAAGGACAGATGAGGGCCATTTCCATTTCTTTCTTTCTTTTTTTCACAACAGAACTGCTTGTAAACGTTAAGAGTTTCAAAGAAAATGAAGATACGGGTTGAAAATTAACATTGGAAAATAAAGACAAATTGAGGGAGGACTAGATAGGATTAAAAGGATGAAAAGAAAGTAGCTGAAAGAATCAAATGAAAGATTCATTTAAATTCAGAACAGAGCAGGCCTAAAAAGTCAAGAGCCAGAAAAGACTTCAGAACCAACTGAGGAGACACAACTGTCAAAAGCAGGAAGCAGGCCAGTGAGCAGTCTCACCTCATCGCTAGTGGTCAGACTCTGGCTGGGGGTGAGCTCAGACTGGGAGCCGGCAGTCCACACCGCCGGACCAAGAGGGGGCACCTGGTCCTCAGCTGAACTCCGGACTGCCAGGTGGCTGGTCACTATGTCCTGTGAGAAACATGGACACAGTTGTGGTCTGAAGCTTCTTTAAATCCATTCATCTTCAGATAAACAAAAATTTAACTCTGGAAGAGTTACACGGAAAGTGTTTGTATGCTTACCTGCAGGGAATAAAGAGCTCGCTGACGTAAGTAGTCGGTGTTCAGCAGCTGCAGTTCGTGGAAGAGCTCAATGAGAAAATGGGGCCGTGATTCATTCTGGGATATCAAAGTGGCCACCTCAGAGTAGATGGTCTCCCTCAGGGCTTCGAACAATGAGAAGTCACTGCTTGCATCTATAATTTAAGGATTTGACATATGAGATGTGGCCTGATTTAAAGGAATTTTCTTTTTCTTTTGTAGTCAAAGACTCGGCTGCAGACAAATTTTGAAGTTTTTGTGCAGGTTTAATTTAATAAAGGCGTGATGGTTAGATGGAATAAGAACCAAATATTGTGAAAATGTGCATGGCCAGTTTACCTGGAGCTTCTGTGCATGCAATTCTGTTAGAGAGGAAAGGTGTTCTCCAAGCATAAGCTGCGAGTAAGATAAACCAAAAGCAGTGGTCATGTAAAAAAAATGGTTAAGTACAGGGAAAAGAGGCGTGCTGTTGTAAAATAACCATAGACTTAAATAAGCATGTAACATGGATGATAAATGTATAAACTGAAAAAAGACAGATGAAGATTGATGAATGACAAGAGAGTGCACAAAAACTGGATGGCACAGGCCATACCAGAGGAGAGGTCATTGCGTTTGTTCCCAGGCTTCGTTTTCCTGTCTAGTTTCTCCTGAGTCAGTTTGTCCAACAGGCTGTGATGCTGATCCCTGTGATGAGACGGAGCCGAGCTGCTGACGCTGTCACTGTCGTGGCCTGAAGAGGAAAATTACCCGATAAACTGTTTCAGTTATCTTCAATCATTCAATTATCTTCAAGTTTAGTTGCATACATAAAAAGCAACTAAGGGGAAAATAAATCAATCTGATCAGGGGCTCGTCAGATTGGGTCGATTCCACTTTTTTATTTATTTTTACCTTCACTGTTCTTGCTGCGCGCTTTGTTCCTCCTACGCCGGTTCTTTGGAGTCTTGCTCCGAGAGGCCAGGTTGGCGTGTGCAGAGGCCTTGTGCCCTGCTTTAAAAGTCTTTGTCACCGTATTGGGATCACCGGTTTCTGGCATACTGCTTAAGCTGTCTTGAGATGCCTTGTCGAACAGCTGAGCTTGTGAGTGGCGTTTGGCAAAACTGGGGGAGGAAGACGGAGACTCTTGTAGATCTGATTTTGACAGGTTCGGTCTTGCTATATTGTTCGTGTAGGAGGTGTTAAGCCGGCCCGCCAATCTAAAACAGTGAAGTGGAATATACTTAAATACTTCAATTGAAATTATAAAGAAATAAAATGAGTGCATTGATAGGCAAATACGACAGATATACCTCCTTTCTGTAGCAGTGTTAAGAGGAGAGCGCTGCAGTGGGGGTGGAAAACTCATATACTCTGTTTTAATCGACGTGTTGGGGTCTAACTGCAGCTTCTGGTGTTCAGGAGTAGCTGGGCCAGCTGCACCTTGAGGAAAGTCAACTGTGGCAGCAGGGAATGGTGGATATAAGTTGAAGCCTTCAGAGGAGTAGAAAAACAGAATAGTTTAAGGTAACTGTCCCACAAAAAGACAGAAATACTTTTTATTTAGGTACAATGCCTTTAAAGTTTAAATTAATAATTGTTAATAAAAAACAGGATGTAAAGAAATTATGTAAATAAACCATCAATATGGAATATTCCAATTTTAAGAACAAAATAATAAACAAAATAGGAAAATCTTTCATGTTTTCATAAATGCATGGATCCTCTTCAGGACACAGAGTCAAAGAATTCTAAAGAAAGATAAACTAATTATTTCCTATTCTTAGACAAACAAAACAGAAGTTTTGGAAACTAGGAAAATAAAAATCCCAGTCTATTGTGTACATTTTAAAAAAAGAAGTATCAAGAAGGCATATCGTACTGGGAGGAAATGGGGATAAGGCAGAGGGTGGCATATTGTTAGCTGAGGGTTGCAGGATGGACGAAAAGGGGAAGATGCCGGGAGAGGCTGAGGGGCCAGAGATGGAGTCCTGTGCTGAGCTCTGCTTCTGTGTCTGCCAACCTGCTGCTGAGGAGGAAGGCTGCTGTTGCTGTTGCTGCTGCTGCTGCTGCCGAATAAGATCGTTCAGGACCTGCTTAAGTCTGAAAGAAAAATGTTAGATTATAGAACATGAAAGAGTTTGTATTATCTGACAGAACTTGAGAGAATATACTCCTTAATGGTATTGTTTTCACCTCTGGACATTGTTTTGTTGCCAAGCCAGCTGCGTATAGCACTGGTTTAGCTGATGCATGACCAGGTGGACCTGCGGTGATGACAGGTTGTTGGGTAACATGCTGTACTGACCCGTCAGAAGGGTTTGCAGCATGTAGGATAGAGTCTGTGGAAAGACATTATTTTTAGTGACAAAGAAAAAGTTTTAAAAAAATGTTTGTATAACATCTCAAGTTACAAACTGTAATATGATCTCACTTAAACACTTTATATTAAACTAAAACGAAGCCTACTTTACACCATAACGTGACGAGAGGCTGCGCTAAAATATGTATGGTTTTGGTACAACAGCATTTACAAACTATTTGGTGAACTTCTCTCTTTTACAGAAAACTGTTAGTTTTACCAATTTTGGAGACATTTTTCCCAGACCCTCACAAACGTACACACATACAAAAATATATATATAAGAAGCAATATTTTGAATTAACATTAATGGCTTTCAGTGTAGGACAGTACACACACATTACTTATCATACAGACACACAACAGTTAATTAAATGGACAAAAAGCCAGGCAACAGCTGAAGATGTGATTGTGAAAATTAAGATATTACAACAATAACTAAAACTAGTAAACAACTATGTTTGTGTCTATCATATATCTATGGGCGTCGTACTGCACAACAACAGCTTTCTCTTCTTTTCCATGCACTAACCTGCTGGTCCTGCAGGAGAGTCTGACACATGCTTGTACTGAAGTCCAGCTGTCTTTGTAGCTGGCTGACTTGTTCCTGCCACTGATTTGGACTCTCTGACAGTGATATTTCAGAAGCCCAGCGCAGGTTCTCCTGACGTCGGACACCTCCATGCTGAGTTGCAGACTGGTCCAAACCTCTGAACTGCTGCTTCACCTTGGTCTTGTTATGAAGATGCCCACCACTGTCAACTGAGACGGCTGCTGGAGGCTTCAGATTACTGGGTACACAAATATGCAGAGAAAGAAAAAAAGAGCATATATATTGAATAAAATGCAATAGATGTGATATTATACGGTCTTAACGAGCCTTGCTTTGGTACTGGGTCTGACCTTCCTTGATTCTTTCTGTCACTGTAGGAGCACTGGTTCCTGCTTGGCGAATACAGATGGAGGTCATCATCAGAGCTGCTCTCTGTACACACATCCTGCTCCTCTTCTTCCTCTGCACCAATCCCTGAGCGATACTCATCCTCTTCTTCCTCATCATCTTCATCATCATCATCGTCATCATCAAGGTGGCAGGGACTGGAACCCCATGTGGCCATTGTTCTGATAATGAAGATATAGGTAATGAATGTTAACCATTAGTGTAACAATAATTAATGACATACCTAAAAATAGGAGAAGAAATGTTTAACCAAATCGAATAGTTTCAAACAGAACTTCTATCTAAAAGGACTATAAGTATTTTCTACCTTTCATCCCTGCTGAAAGGCTGTGAAAGAGGAGTATTGTCCTCTTGGTCTTCGACCTGGCAGGGTGAGTCGCTGATACCACTACGCCTCTGGTGTTCAGCCATCAGTGACTCCAGATGCTTTCGGCGTTGTCGCAGATCTTCTCGCATAATCTGCCGGTGACGCATTTCTGACCAAAGCTTTTGACAGCACGAGCCGAGAAATGATCAGTTAGCACAGTATAGAGTTTGTTTGGATATATGAGGTAAGATTAGAGGTAGAAGGTGCATTGGCTTAAAAGTTAGAATCTGTCACCTCATTGTCAGTGACAGAAGAGGTGGCTGCCTCTGGAGCAGTAGGTTTGAGCACAGCCAAGTTGGTTTTGGGCCCAGAGGAGGAAGAAGCCTGGATGGGAGCAGGAGTGGAGACTGCAACTGGAGCCTTCCTCAGCAAACCCTGGTGACTCACTGTGCTGCTGGGCACAGATGACTGGATGGACACAGAGGAAATAAAAAAAATTGGAATATTTTACTACGAAACACTAAACACATAACTTACATGTACCCGAGTAACCTCCATCCCTTCACATACTTTGAGGAAACTCTGAACTTCTTATCTTCCAAATGCAAACTGAGTGTATGTATGTATCATTTGACGGGTTATACAAAAAACTATGTTAATTTAAGAGGTTCAATTTGATTTTATATATATATATAGCACTATGTCATAACAAAAAGGCAACTCAAGACACTATTTGGTGGAAAAACTGAACTGAGTCAATCACCTGAAGGTCAGGACAAGCCCACTGCAGGTCTTGGATCTTGCCCTGGATTTCAATGAGTCTCTGGCGTTCTTCATGGAGCTGTTTCAGCTCCTGCTTCTGCTGACGTAACTTTTCCTCATATAACTTCTCCCTATCAGAAGAAAAGAACAGATATAGTGAAAATCAAATAAAGACACAGGGATGCAACAAGATTTAAAAAAGCCTTACCTGGCCTTGCCAGAGAGAGCTATGTCTCTTGGACTCTGTTTAGATCCAGCCCCCAAAGGCCCAGGAACAGAAGCTCTAATATTATTTGGCTGTTGGTGTAAAACTTCATCCTCATTAGCTGTTGTTCCATCTGTATCGTCACTCTGTAAACAGATAGTGTCAGTATTTCTTTACTACAATAAAATGTTATTCTCAATACAAAAAGGCAAATACCTCCCCTTAAAATCACTGTCACATAAAGTGTTTGAGGTTGTTAACGTGTGTAAACATATTCCAAGGTGTCTATTCTAAGGGGTCACAAGACAAATGAGCAGTCCATGAATTTAGTGAGGATCGATTCCTCCAACCTGCTACAGGAGTCATAAAGGTGGTGTAGACTTCCATGTTGCAATCTTACTTTGTGTGAGCACCTGCTAAGAACCTGTTACCACATCCCTGACTGGCTTAAAGGTGTATCAGTAGCTCACTGAGTCCTCATTCAATGTCTGTACATTCAAATATAAAATGGAATGCTATGATTAACAATAAAGGTGCAACAGTCCAAGCTTAAAAAGTACATGATAAAGAGGAAAAGACTACAGAAGGTTATCTGTAGATTCAAAATAGAAGCCCAAAGTCATAGCACAGGCACTCAGTTTTGCTTATGATGTCTAGCACAAAATCAACTCAAAGGCGCAACTTCCAAAAGAAACTATAAGGATATTTTGAGCCAGTTAAAAACTGGATTCTAAAATCAGATGGGGAATTCAAGTACAGAAACATACAGTCATCAGCCTACCTGTACCATGGCCACCAGCTCCTGCAGCTGCCGGAGTTTTTGCTTGGCCGTTTTGTGATGAACCTTCGGAGCAAAAGCTGTGTCGTTCGCAAGGCTGCTTCGTCGACTGGAGTCAGATGCACTCTCTTGGACCACAGCATGTGCTCCTTCGCCATTATTGACACAATTGTCTTCATCGTCTTCGTCGTTCATCTGATTATAGGGAATGTCCCTGTTGTACTGACATTCTAAATTAAAAATATATATATTACACAGTGAAAAATAACCAAATATTTGCTCCTAAAACCATAGAACTCCCTTGAATGACAGAAAATGTCTTTAATTTAACTTCACAAAATGCACAATGATCAATGTGGATAATGAAGTGTCAATTAATCAATGGAAACATAGCTGTATGAAGATGAAACAATAAATACTTAGTATCTAAAATGATGAGACATTTAATATAACAACTTAATGATCTCTTCCTACAAACTGTACTACTTGACGTATTTTTTCCAACCACCAAATATGTCCTTTTAGTTAGGTTTACTTCTAAGAACACGTATGCCAAACTATAAACAATCATGTGAAATTCAAACCTATGGCTGCAGAGATGTTGAGGCTGCGGAGGTTGGCTGCTGCTCGGTTGTTGATCTCACACTCCGTGTTGAGTCTACCATCTCGGTTGTTAGCTGCACTACTCCTGGCACTGCGGCCATTTGTCAGGCTGTTCAGGTCGGCCCAGTTCGCGCTGCGCTGTGGGTGTCTAAAAACACAAAGTATTGTGACTTGCTGTGAAACAGATGAAGTGAATTCTAAAAACATACTCTAACGCAGAGCACAATAATATCTGAAGATATATATGAGGCCTGTAAGCAGCAAACATCTATTACAGCATCAGTGCCTTTATACCCTTTTTTAGAGACAGTGGTTTGAATTGTATCAGCTGGACAATTCTCCTCATAACATTACATTCACATAAATAGTTTATCATTCCATTACCTGATGTTGGTAACAGGTTGGTGATTCTCCTGCTCAGAGTCAAACATGACCTCAAACATAGAGCTATCCTCTGTCTCATCTTCTTCCTCTCTATCATCGATATCTTTCACATTTTCATTGACTGCATCCACCATCATATCAGAGGTCTGCTCATAGTACTGAACCAGCTCCCGCAACTCATTCAAGCGCTTGTGGACCTCCTTCAGCTTCCTGTGGGATTATGTGGATGACAAAGGAATACACGTTAAGTTAAATCATTTAAGGGGTTAAAGGTTATGGTATACACAGGAATCTTTTTTTTTCCTATTCAAACTTCTCAAAAAGCTCAGATTATGTCTCTGAAATAACCAATCACTCGTACAGTAGCTGGAGTTGGAGATTCAGAGCACAACAACAGGACAACATACAGTTGTTTAGCTTTTTAATTCCAGGGTAACACTACACCGCCCGCACGCTACATGACAGCCTGCTGCTGAAATCTGCTCAGCTTATTGTACTGTGTCAAACAGCCTTACTGCATGTACCTTAACTTGTCAGCCGAATTGGAGCCGTCTTGCTGCTGTGTGTGTGAAGGCTGGAAAGAAGTGGAAGCAGATGCCCCATTAGAGCAGAAAGCAGATGGACAATCCAGTGATCCTCCAATGCTTGGGCTGCACTGTACTGACAGACTGCGACCTGAAGGGAAATAGACAATTTATTATACTAAACGAACATAAAAGTCACTAAATGATTGCTAAATGGCAGGTTTAAAATGCACCTACATGAATTGTTGTTTAGTGTCTGGTCTCTGAGTGAATGCAACTCCTTGAGGATCTTGTCCATGGTTTGCTTTTTGTCTTGAAGTTCTTGCAGTTTGGTTAGCTTGACACTTGCAGCAGTTGCATCCGTGTCTAGGCCAGTGTGTGGGCCAGAGGCAGAGTGAAGGAAGGGCCTGTGTGGAGGTGGACCAACAGCCTGGGGAGGCCTAGACCAACAAACCTCTCTGGAAAGGGAAAGACTCTGTGCCTGGCGCCGGTTGTCTGGTACCGCTTTAGTCTGCCACAAAGATGTTAAAACATTTCTTGATTATATAACTATTGCCTCGATGGAAAATCTGGCAACTCAACTATTGTTTCCAGTGTACCTGAGAGTCATGTAGTTGGTTGTGGAACCGTTGGATTAACTCATTTAACTCCTCATTCAGCTCTGATGTGATGCTCAGGCCTGAAACACTACCAGTGGTTTCGGTGACAACTACACACAACAAAAATGACATTGGTTAGTGGTGTGGTGGAATGCCCAAAAAGTACAACTGAAAATCTCTACATATGAATAGAATTTTGTGAGTGCTGTTCTGTCAGTTCAATGTTTACAAAATAGATTAAATCTCAGGTTGGAAAAGTGCGTTTCTCACCAGTGTCTTCAATCACAGTCAGCGCCTGTTCAGCACTATGCTGAATGGCCATCAGAGCTTCTTGTCGACCCTGCAGGGCCCTGAGTTGCTCCTGCTGCTCTAGCATCTTCTTCAGCAGTTCATGCTGCTTACGCAGATTCTCCAGTTCTTCCCTTTGATCAGCACGCATGGCTTCTGGCCTACCCCCCTACAAATTCACATCAATATTTTCAGTACAAACACTGAGCCGAAGAGCATCCACATCAGCAACGATGCACTGCTCCCAGACAGGAATGCTTTGTCAGGTTCAAAACACAATGAGACTAATAGGATATACAGAGACAAGTTGGTTGGAAACTTTTTCTTCATCTCAGAAATTCAAGTGTGTAGATGTTACACTGATGTTGTGTACAAAATAGAAAAGAGTATTAAAAGAATTAGAGCAATCAGCTAGTATTTTTAAGTGGACAGAGTACAAATAAATATACTTACTGTTTCATTCGAACCATCTGTAGACTGAAACTCGATGTTCAAAGAAGTGCTTTCTGCCAGTGAACCTGAACCAACTGCAGAGTCCAGGGTTCCCAAATCACCCTCGTCACTCTCACGTGCCTTTTGAAACATTAGAGCCAAGATCAATCAAAAAGAGACCGGAAGATATAGACTACCCCAAAACATGAGCTGTCTGTCAAGTGGTGATCTGTAGAAATAAGTGAAATGCCAGTATGCATTGGCTTATAAAATCTGCAGTTAAGAATGAAAATGTCTCAATATTGACTTACATTTATGTTTGTGAAAAATACTTCAATTCAAAAGTAAATACTGCCACATTAAGGTGGCATATCATGTCTAAATTCAATTAAATCTAAATTATATCTAAACACAAACATGACCCATCTTTTGAAGTTTTTTCGGGCCACAGAGTAAAACAACTATTAAACATGCATGCATTGTAGCTACCAGAACACATCACAGTCAATTTCACCTCAAAATGAACCAAAGTGCACTTTCTATACAGGGAACATTTCATTAAAGTTACACAACTCGACCTGATGGAACATAAAAAAACAGAATGTTACAAAAAATCCTCAGACTTACCAGCATTTTTTGCAAGAACCGTAAATATGACTTCTCCTGTTCCTTGAGGTGTTCGATAAGATGAGAAAGACGCTCCACGTTGGCTGGTACATCATTCTTTTCCACCAGATCGTCCCTCATGGAGCTTGCCTTACTGATGTAGTCCCGAATCTGCACCAATTTGCTCACCACCTGGGACCAAATAAAGTGGGCGGGATGGTGTATGGTGGTGGGTTTGAGACGGGACATCAAGATCAGACAGACAAAGAAATACAGACACATAAGTGAGCATCTGTAGTCATGCCTCAGACTAGGCTACACAAGGGCAGAAAGGGGGCTGGGCGCAAAACTCACTGGGCACCAAGGGTGGCATATTTATAAATTGGCCTAAATAGAGCTTAGTTTCAGCTGCACCAGTTCTCCCTCACTCTTATCCTACTTTTGTTTTTTCTCAGTATTCTGGAGAGGGGTAATACACAGACAAAGCTGAATGTAGAGTGCACATGAAAAGATGCTTCAAGAAAATTAAATGCTAAATTTAACTTTCTTTTCACAGCATTAAATGTAACAATACCAATATTTAATAGAACATTGCTATTAATTACAATGCCCACAGGGATTCACTATGCACCTTTATCAGTCAAACTACTCTGTAAAAGGTTTCCTGATCCCCGATCTTTCAAATGTTATGAGCTCAGTTAAGTTCTTCAGTACCTTAAGTGACCTCTGGACAAGTACCAACATGTGGGAGTTGCTTATAGATTCTGATATTCTGAAGAACTTTTACTTTCAATTCACATATAGTAATCTAAATCAAATTTTTTTTTAAACATTTTATTTTGTTGGTGAAATCTTCAAAACAGTATGACATCAAGTGATTTTTAAAAAGTTGGGTTTAAACTTTGTGACCCGAAACCGTACCTGACTGCTGTCTACTCTGTGCTCTCCCCGACCATATTCTCTCTCTGCTGAGTGTCCTCTGTCTGTGGCACCACGACTGCGCCCCGGAGAATCCTTTGTGGGAGGACCAGGGGTTAACATATGCCTGAGTCCTGGGCTCTGCTTCTTGAGTTCTTTTGTGATAGCTGGGGTGGTGGGGGCAGATGCAGATGGATGGAGCAGCTCCTTGCTTTTGTTAGTGTTTACATGCAAAGGAAGGAAGTTGTAGGGCTTCTTGTTCTCCCCAGCTATCTGCCGCTGGTTGTTGGCGGCTGTAACACGACCCTGGGAGTCACTGCCGATGCTTCTCTGGATAGGGAAAGAGAATGAGAGTTCATACAAATCACAATTTGAAGTTTTAATTTTTCTTTAAAGCATAAATGTGTATGTTCCAAAAAAAGAGAGTGTGAGGTGGAACTATCATGGAGAAACGCTCTGCTGTTTTAAACTATAATATCACCACTGAGCTAAATCAGTGAAACCAGGTTAACATCTGTAAATACATATTGATACAATGCTGAGCCCCTCTTTTGGGTTGTGTGAAGTGCCGAAAAAGAATGATTCTTACTCTGGATGAAAACAGCCAGTTAATATAGTTATGACATACAATAGTAGTTCCTTTTTAAAAAATCTCACAACAGATGTTATACAAGCATTCATGGACAAATGGACAATGTAGGACATTGCTCCATCATAACTGAAGTGTGGCTACTTTTGAAAATATTTCTTTTGCATGTACATACCTTAACGTAACTTCTACGCTTTTCTTTTTTTTAAGATTCAGCGTACACATATCAAGGGAATACTGAGACTAACTGAAAATAAATTAAATTCAAGCAAGTCCACCATATTTTACCTCATCCAGGTCTGTAAAATTGATCCTCTGACGAAGCTTGTCCAGCTCAGCCTGGTCTGGGACAGACATTTGGGTCGTGTATTTGATGTGAGGGAAGGAGTGAGGAGTGCGAGCTCTTCTGCGGCCGGCCCCTGGGGTGGACTCTGGTGAAATATCATTTGTCACGCGGCTTTCCACCACCGCAGCAGACAATTTTTTCTTGTTTTTCTCTGAAGATCGATTGGCTTTCTTTTGCTGTACTCCCCAATCCTTGATTTAAAAAAAGAAAGAAAAGTCAGTGCAGTTTTTTCCTGTTTCACATAAGACTATATATAGCAAGAATAAAGTTTGACAGTAGCTTCACTGACAGGACTATGTATGTTATAGAGCTGAGATTTTGGAAAGTTTTGAGTGGCTTTAACCTGAGCAATACTGAGTAAATGTAAAACAAGGGGGAATATGTCCATGTTTTTGTATCTGTCAGGTCCTTACCAAGTTGTTAAGTCTATCTTCAAGGCTACCATTGGTTACGGTCCAGTTGTGCAGCTCTTCGGTGCTGTCCTCGAAAGGAGTGCCCCCAGTTGCCATGTCCACTTACAGCTTGCTGGAATTCACAACAGAGCCTTTGCTGGTCACTAAACAAACCACCAATTGAAAATTCAGTCAACTCTATTAGAGAAAAAAGTTTACAAAACTGACTTAACCCAAAGTGAGTCATTGAACAGCTTCCTAACAATAGATGCAACGACTGCCCATACCAAATAATAAGCAACGTTATCAGTCAATCACAATTTAGGTCATGATGGCAAACGTAACACTTCATTAGCTATTGAAATAGGAGATTCAGTAAACAAAAAATAGAACACGTTACTTTCCCCACACGGAACACATGTTCTGCTTTCACTACTAACCTTCACGATTATTGTTGTTAACGCATTGCTTAAAAAATACATCAAGGTTAAATAAGGTTCATTTCCGATAACTGGCTGTTTGAAAACATCAGTAATGTGGCCTACATCGCTTTCACTGTGCTGGTTAGTTACAACCCGTCGGTTAGCGTTAGCTGCCGTTGGGCTTTGCGTGGCCCGCTCGGATTCCCGGGGAAGGATGTAAGAACGTTCGCTCCACTGAGCAGACTTAGCGCGAGCTTTAGGTTAAAATTCCACAAGGGAACGGTGACGACTGCTACCAAATGAAAGCTATAGAAAGGGCTTAAAGCACCACCTTACTCTCACTTAGCTCTTATTAAATAACATACCTGTAAAATGCTTTATTTAGGTAAACTTTAAAAGCAAAATATTTGTGACCCAATTCCGTCGTGAAATCGCCATGGCAACACACAATAACCCAATCACCTACAATCTGCTAGCCCCCTGTTAAATATTGACCATCGTCTTCGAAAAAAACTCAGCCATGGAGCTGTTACAAGGCAAATTAGTCACTAAAGTTCTGAAGCTTTCTAGTTTAGTTGGCTAGTACCAACTAGCTTGCTACCTGCGGGTCACAACAGAGCCAACTTAGAACGTCTTGATGAGAGTTGAAAAAAACATACATCTACTATTAGGTCTGAAAAGCGTAACTTCAACCTGAAATTGTTCTCACTCTCGTGCTAATTCACAGTTTATATACCTACAAGGCCAAGCCAAAGTTAATAACAAATGAAGCCAGTTTAATACTGGCTGTAAACATTGTTTCTACTGTTCTTGCTAAGATAGCTAGCTTACGAGTAAAGCAAAGGAACCATGATGTTACCATTCAGAGCCCGAAACAGGAGGAAAATGCGCTACGGTGGACCTCATGTACTTTAGTGTCGACTTTGCAAATCTTCTCTGTGCTTGGTAGAAGCTATTTAATTTGTAGCAACGTCTACGAGCGACAAAAACGCAGCAGCCAAATTAAGTGACTTTAGCCCTAATCACTCCCCTACGATAGGGGGCGGTATACATTCACCACTAACTGGCGTTTGACAAAAGGAAGCGTGTGTCCAGGAAACGATAACATTTGTCGTCCACTGTTCGTTTGTTGGATATCAGTGAAAATAGCACGGTATGTTGGAGTTTCAGTCGGCGTAAGAGACAAAATTGAATTAATAACCACTACAGGACTCTACACAGCATCTAATGATTTCTGTTTACAAGAGCAGGATTTAATTTTTGTCGACGAAATGAGTGAGTTCTAACGTCGTGAAAAAGTTAGCTTCCATAGCTAACGAGAGCTAGTTAGCAAAGTCAAGCTAGCTACATTTTTTCACCAACTCAGTCAAATAAGCTTTATAAGCAAGTTTTTTTTTTTGCATACCTTATTTTTTAAAAATTAGTTCTACGGCAAATACCAGAGTGAAAATGGGTTCTTCAAAGAAACACAAGGAAAAGAGCCGCGATAAGGAGGCAGAGGACCGCCGTCGCGAGCACAAGAAACATCGCCACAAGGACCGAGAAGGTTCAGAACGAGATGGAACAAGGGATAAAGACAAACGAAAACGCTCCAGATCTAGGGAGAAAAGCAGACGAGACAGTCGCAGCAAAGGTGAAAGAGGCAGCGGGGAGCCACGTGTAAAGAAGGAGAAAGTTGATCATGGATATGAGGACAGTGCTGAGATTCAGCCTCAGAGTGCAAGCGGAGATGCATCTCTCAGCATTGAGGAAACAAACAAACTCAGAGCAAAGCTCGGTCTCAAGCCCCTGGAATTAAATGAGAACAAGAAGGAGCTTGGAACCAAAGAGGAGCCACTAGTGGCGGAGACAATCAATCCTGTTCTGATCAAGCAACAGAAAGAAATCAAAGAAAAGCTTGCAGCCATGAAAGAAAAACGGCTTCTCAACCAGAAACTGGGAAAGGTCAAATCTCTGGCGGATGATGACTGGCTGGATGACACAGCTGCCTGGGTTGAGAAAAACAGAAAGCTGACCAAAGAAAAAGAATTGGCAGAGAAAAGAGCCAAGCTTCTGGAAGAGATGGATCAAGAATTTGGTGTAAGCAGTCTTGTGGAGGAGGAGTTTGCTCAAAGTAAGCAGGGTGCTTACACCTCCCGTGATCTCAAAGGGCTCAAGGTACAGCACAAGGTGGAGTCTTTTGGTGAGGGCCAGACTGTTATCCTTACCCTACAAGACAAAGGTGTTCTTGAAGAAGAGGAGGATGTGCTTGTTAACGTGGGAATAGTGGACAAAGAAAAGGCAGAAAAGAATGTGGAGTTGAAGAAGAAAAAGCCTGACTACAAGCCATATGAAGAAGAGGAGAGTGTGGATGACATGGTCACATTTAAGACTCGCTCTGTACTGTCAAAATATGACGAGGAAATTGAAGGCGAGAAGAAAAAGAGCTTCCGTTTAAGCACAGGGGGATTTGCTGATGGAGAGCGAGAAAGGGAGCTCCAGGCTATGAAAGAATCGTTGCGCAACCAGGCAGTGTCTTTGGAAATGCCTGCTCTCAAAATTGCCTCAGAATACTACACACCTCAAGAAGTGGTGGGCTTTAAAAAGACCAAACGCCGTGTCAGAAAAATCAGGAAGAAGGAGAAGCAGACTATTGCAGATGATCTATCTCTGAATGACACACGCAGCACTGATTTTGGCTCCAGGACACGCGGTCGAGGCCGCAAGCAACTGGATGAACAGCAACCGGAAGTAAAGGAGGAGGAAAACAAACCGTCACTTGAAATCCCCCTTCTGTCTGATGATATTCGGATGGCTGAAATGGAAATAAGTGATGAAGAGGACTTTACACCCCCTGAGCCAGCTGTACTTGAAGAGGATGAGGCAGAGCAGGAACTCCAGAAACAGCTGGAGAAACAGAGAAAGCTGAAACAAAAGCAGCTTCTCAAAGACTCAGGAGAGAAAGTGGCAGAACAGATGAAAAATGTTGTGAAGGGAGATGATGAAAATGATCCTGACAAGAAGAACAACATTGTCTTCAATGCAACCTCAGAGTTTTGCAGAACTCTGGGTGATATTCCAACTTATGGACTGTCAGGCAACAGAGAGGACCAAGAAGATATTATGGACTTTGAACAGGAGGAAGAAAAAGATGATGCAGGAGACGAGGACTCTGAAACTGATGAAAATGTTGGATGGAGCACAGTTAACCTGGACGAGGAGCAAAAACAGTCCGACTTTGCCACAGCTTCTGCAACCATTTTGGATGAAGAGCCCATTGTCAACTCTGGTCTTGCAGCAGCATTACTGCTGTGCAAAAATAAAGGTCTGTTGGACACTCAGATGCAAAAGGTAGCTCGTGTCAAAGCCCCTAAGGGCACGCTGCCAAATGACAACTACTGCATTGAGGACAAGATGGGCTTTGATGACAAGTACAGTAGGCGAGAAGAATACAGAGGCTTCACACAGGAATTCAAGGAGAAGGATAGCTACAAGCCTGATGTCAAGATTGAGTATGTTGATGAGTCTGGACGCAGACTTACTCCAAAAGAAGCTTTTAGGCAGCTTTCTCATCGATTCCATGGGAAAGGATCTGGAAAGATGAAGACTGAAAGGAGGATGAAAAAGCTGGAGGAAGAGGCACTGCTGAAGAAGATGAGCAGCAGTGATACTCCTCTTGGAACGGTGGCTTTGCTTCAGGAGAAACAGAAATCTCAGAAAACGCCATACATTGTGCTTAGTGGGAGTGGGAAAAGTATGAATGCAAACAACATAACAAAATAAGTTTTGAGAGAAGAAAGTATTGCAGTATGCGTACAGTAGAAACAAACATGCATAGATGCACATATACTTAAATATCTTTTAAAGTGATTGCTAAGATTTTGTGTTGTAGATGATGCAAGCTCTTGATACAAGCTTCATTGTTAAATTGAATAATTGTTCAATAAAATCAGTGAAAGTGTGAAACTGTCTCATTTGTTTGAGTTGCACTTAGGCTTAGTTAAGGGCTTTAAAATGAATATTTTCTTGACTTTTTGAAGGTATACTTTCAATATGAAAGAATATAACCTGGCAGAAGAAATTACTTTTTTATGTGCACTTATACTTGTTTAAATTCTACAAACAATCCTTTTCATGCTTATTTTTTAATATGCAGATATGCTGTATCAGTTATATTTGACATTACAAAAACTGAAAGTTTATATTAGCATTTTTTATGTTTACTAGGTAATAGGTTTTTTAACATAACTGGTTTAATTGCATATCAGCATAACTTGTGTTATTTTGGATGATTACAACATGACTGATTAATTATAGCTTAATGGTGATGATGGTTTAGATATCCCTTATTACTTAAAGTGAAAAAGTGAATTACCTCTATGATTCGAAGCAAAAGCTCTTCATTGAGATACATCCATGACAGTAAGAACTGAACTTTACTTAATGCATCCCACAATAAATGTTCTATCTGTAGTTGTTTTTTTACCTATTCAACCTGTACTGGTTACACAAGGGAGTGTTGTGATTAGTGTATTTTTAATCAAAATGAATTAAAGTTTGTTTTTTTCACTGAATATTGATCTAAGCAGTTTTTCGAAGTAAGTTTTTTAACACCATTTATAAGATGTCGTCAGCGGAACTGAATTCGCAGGCTTTGAGGTAGTCGGACAACCATTCCGATGCACAACCTGTAGGAAAATGGTTAGCAAAGCTAATACTTAACGACATAACATTGTTTCTGTAAATAAGGCATAAATACCATAGGTAATTGATGTACCCTTGTACGCAAATACGAATATGCTTTATATCTGATAAATAATGATTGGGAAAACAACACCGCTGAGCAAGTTACAAACGACTTGTAAGCTTTTCTTTTTACAACTTCCTGTTTAGCTAGCCGTAAGCTTTGAGGCAGGCTGGGTTTTAAGTAGCTTTGATATACGGAGATGGCTTCTCCTTCCACGGTGTGGCTCAATGCATAGTTTCCAAACCGCGTTTACATGACGCTTTTTTGCCATTCTAACGAATAACGGTGGGTTCAGCCGACTGGTATCGTTAGTGAGTACCATTTTCTCAGTGGCAGTAATTTATCCAACGTATTAAATGACACTTTGCTACTAGACTATTTTGAGTTACGTCGGAGCTGCTTAATGCGTTTGTTGTTATTCGAGGATGTCACCGTGTTAAAGCCGGATTCAAACTGAAAATGGTCCCAGAGGCCTTACTATAACAGCTTGCACTCAGTCTGAATATGCGGTCTGTATACGGTCTCCTATTTATGTATCTCAAAATGATAGCTCTGGTGCTAACATTTTGTATATGTAAAATAACTGTTTTTTAGGTGTCAACACCAATGTATGAGGTAGTGTGAATCAGATCGTTTGTTATTGGGTTACAATTTGTACCTTTTATTTTTTTTTACATTTAGATTTCTGCAATTAACAGACGATTTTATCCAAAGCGACTTACAAGTATATATGAGAATTAACAAGTAACTATATATTAGAAAACAACTTACAATACACTATTATGACAGTGGCTTCCTTTAAGTGTTGAGAAAATCATTGAAAATTTCAGTTTAAACAGAATGTTCATACTTGGAAGACCTTCCTATAGGTCATTCACCCAGCTGCACTCAGTGTGGATAGCTTTAATTTGCTCTTTTGTACGACTTATGTTAATGAATAATCAGTTAATGAAAAGTATAGAATGACTGATTTTTTATGTAGATGTGGACAAAACCATTTTCTCTTATATATTTGTTGTAACTTCAATCACAAACTTGTCAATGCATCCCATGTTTAAAGAAATGAAAACAGCTCTGCACCTTTATGGTTACTGAAGCTTGATTACATTCTTTCCCTCTCAGGCTGTAACTTCACCCAGTGAAACAAGAAGGCTGTTGTGATGTCTGAGCTCAAACCCCCTACCCCAACCCCGGGTGACACATACAAGGGTTGGCTCTTCAAATGGACTAATTACATTAAAGGTTACCAGAGGCGCTGGTTTGTTCTCAGCAATGGATTGTTGTCTTACTACAGGTAAGTCCTATGAGACCAACTATAGTTATTGTGATTTGTCTAGCCCTTTGTATATCTGCTCTATAGAAAGCCAACATGATGCCTTAAAATATTATCTTAGTGTGTAACACGCCATCTGAGCTCTATACTCATCAACCTAACAAGTGTTAATGCAGACAGAAATAAAATATAAAATTACGCTTAGTCTATAAACCAATTGTGTTGGAAGTGCAAAATTGAAAAACAAAAACATCTTAACTGAAATTTTAACGTATGGATCTTTTATAGAACATATCTCATTATTTCTTTGAAAATATTTCATTTGATCTGCTTCTGTTAATCACACAAAAGGGATAAAAAAAATAATAATCTGGTTGTGTTTTAGCTATAAGTTAATTGATTAATCAGTGTTTTGTGAACTCCACTCGCAACAGTTTCCATTTTTTATGTGTCCAGGACTCAGGCGGAAATGGGTCACACATGCAGAGGCACCATCAACTTGGCCACAGCAAACATCACTGTGGAGGATTCATGCAATTTTGTCATTTCCAATGGTGGGGCACAGACCTACCACTTGAAGGCCAGCTCAGAAGTGGAGCGCCAACGATGGATCACTGCTCTGGAGCTTGCCAAAGCAAAGGCTGTCCACATGCAGGCAGAATCAGGTGATATAGAAGGAAAGGTCTTTTGCAAGATCAAAGGCAGTATATTGTTAAAACTCACAGAGAAGTTATGGATGTTTAAAATATACCCAGAGATAAATATGTGATATTCTATTGTTATTTCTATTTGTGGTCACTAAGTATTGTCTCTATTGTTTCTTCAGATGAATCTGGTGATGACTGTCCTGAAGTTCCCCCATCATCAGGACAGGGCGGAGGCTGTCGAAACTCTGAAATTCAGTCCACATTACGCACTCTGACCAGCAAAGTTGAGGACCTCAGTACCTGTAACGATCTCATCGTTAAACACGGTTCTGCCCTCCAAAGGTACTGATTCTCTGAATAATATTATGCAAGAGAAACCGAGCTGTCGGCCGTTGTTTTTAAACATTACGTTCTATTCAACAATCTTAGGTCCTTATCAGAACTGGAGGGCCTGCGTGCTGTAGGGGACATGGGGGAGAAGGTCAGACAAGTCACAGAGAGGGCCACGCTTTTCCGAATCACCTCAAATGCTATGATTAATGTAAGTACAAGACAGTGAGGAGCAAGCAACACTTCTTCAGTGTTTGTAACTGACATGTAATCCTTGCTTTCCCCTAGGCATGTAGGGACTTTCTCTCCCTGGCCCAGAGCCACAGTAAGCGCTGGCAGAAGGCTTTACAGACTGAAAGAGACCAGAAGATACGTCTGGAGGAGACGCTGGAACAGCTTGCCAAACAGCACAATCACTTGGAAAGAGCTTTTAGAGGAGCCACAGTTCTTCCGCCTCTGTTCAGCAATCCCACTTTAGGCACTAAAGGTTAGGCTTCCCTTTTCAGCCTCTATCTTGTGACCTTTAAATCACTTTTTTAGACCAAAACCCTCTGTCTGTCATTTAAGTTAGTCTGAGCCCTGTGATTTTTCATATTTCCACTTCTCTGATTTGATTTTAGGAGGTGCATCCGTAAAAGGGGATGCCAGTGATGAGGACGATGACAACGAGTTCTTTGATGCAATTGAAGACCCAGCAGAATTCATTACTGTCCCTGCAGACCCGAAGTACCACAGGTAAGTCCCTTTTTGAGATGGAAATATTTGTTATCCATATGAGAGATAATCTTATTTCTTTATTTTTCCAGGAGATCTGGCAGCAACATCAGTGGGCTCAGCAGTGAGACCGGATTGGACGATCAGTCGGTATATATGATGGGCTTATTTATTTGGTGTAATTTTTAGTAATTTATAAACATTTCGAAGGCAAATATACCTCACTTCCTTCATCTTTCCCTTTTCATTCATTAGTTTGATGAACTTTCTTTGGCTTCCAATCCGGAGTCTCCTCAGCCTCTGGAGCTTGAGCCTGTCAGACAAAGACGGACCCGTATCCCTGACAAGCCCAACTATTACCTCAACTTGTGGAGCATCATGAAGAACTGCATTGGAAAAGAGCTCTCAAAGATACCTATGCCTGTACAAAACCTATTCCTTTATCACTTTGCTCTTTTTAAGGTACGATGAAATAATTGCAACGCTCTTTCTATCTCTTTTTGTTTAAAGGTGAATTTCAACGAGCCCTTGTCGATGCTGCAGCGCCTGTCTGAAGATCTGGAGTACTGCGAGCTCCTGGATAAAGCTGCAAAATGTCATAACTCTCTCGAGCAAATGTGTTATGTGGCAGCTTTTACAGTATCTTCTTACTCCACCACTGTTCACCGCACAGGAAAGCCGTTCAATCCACTGCTGGGAGAAACTTTTGAGCTTGATCGGCTCGGAGAGTGCGGTTACCGCTCACTATGTGAACAGGTATATAAAAATCCTCATGATAGTTTTGTATTTTCTTAGCTGGAGTTATTTCTTTATATTTAACCGTAGGTAACTCCAGTTCCATGCATAGAATAGCATCAAGGTTTCAGATAGAACTATTTGCATTTGTCTTTGCAATGAAACCTTGGAGCATCTTTTGAGCTTGCCACTTCCCTTTTAGGTGAGTCATCACCCTCCTGCTGCTGCACACCATGCCTTCTCTGAAAAGGGCTGGACCCTCAGACAGGAGATTGCATTGGCCAGCAAGTTTAGAGGAAAATACCTCTCTATTATGCCACTGGGTGAGTTTTTGTTTGTTGGAATAACGGACAAGTTATTGCTTACCAAAGCCTCATTATATCCGATGCTGGTGTAGAATGTTGGATGATTAATCTTTTTTTAATTGGACAAACTTCTGTCGAATACTACATGTTTGTCCACTCTTTCACAGGTTCTATCCAGTGCATATTTGAAAAGAGCAACAACCATTACTCCTGGAAAAAAGTTACCACAACAGTACACAACATTATTGTTGGGAAATTATGGATTGATCAGGTAAACGCAAAGCTGATACAACTTATAAGAATTGACAACAAGTGACAGTGTGAAATGTTTTTCTTTGTTATTATGATACTATCATTGCATTTTAAATCAGCTGTATTGATGTATTTACTAGCCCTAATAGTATTTCATACATTTCTCTTCCTGTATTATCCTGTGCCAGTCAGGGGAGATAGATGTGGTGAATCACAAAACAGGAGACCGCTGCCATCTCAAATTTGCTCCCTACAGTTACTTCTCCAGAGATGTACCAAGAAAGGTAGGTTATATCCTTTTTAAATTGAGCCAGGCCTTCTCAAGCAATACATTCTCCTGGAAAAATATTGATTCACCAAATGTGGAATGGCAGCAGATCAGGTATACCATGGGCAGGATAACAATCCATCACAGGGCTGACTTAGGAAGGGAGACCACCGTTCACAGTGACCAATCCACCATCTAATGAGATTTTTTGTAGAATATGGAATGGTTTTCATTTTTTGTACTGTAATCAACATGATCGACTAAACTTTTATTTCATATCATGCTTTTCTCATTTTCATAAAAACATAAAAATTGAATATTTTCTTAAAGTATTCATTCAGCAGTTTCATAGAGATCTAGTGTTTTGTAAATGATGCTTGAACACCACTGCCTCAACTACACAATACAAAAAGCAGGATTGTTCCATCATGAATAAATAAGTGTAGGTGTTACCTGACTGAGCAGAGTTGTATTTTCTTTCCTTCCAAACTGAAAGCTGTAGTTTTCTCTCAGGTTACAGGAGTAGTGACAGATAAGGATGGAAAGGCTCACTATGTGCTGTCAGGAACCTGGGATGAGAAGATGGAGTTCTCCAGAATCATGCAGAGCAGTAAAGGCGAGAACGGCACTGAAGGCAAACAGAGGACTGTTTATCAGACCCTCAAAGCTAAAGAAATCTGGAAAAAGAACCCATTACCGTAGGTGTTGGTTATTTTTTTAAAAGACCACAAATATTGCTAATTTTTCATTGAGAGTTTTGACTTTCAAGTTTTTTTTTTTGTGATGTGGATGACTTTCCAGAGAAGGAGCAGAGAGCATGTACTACTTCTCCATGCTTGCCTTGACTCTGAATGAACCCGAAGAAGGAGTGGCGCCCACCGACAGTCGGCGCCGCCCTGATCAGCGGCTGATGGAGGAAGGCCACTGGGATGAAGCCAACGCAGAGAAACAGAGGCTTGAAGAAAAACAGCGCTCCACCCGACGAGAGAGGGAAAGGGAAGCTGTGAAAGCAGTCAGCATACCTGAGGAAGGTAGGAAACCAACTAAAGCGGCTTTGTTCTGGTGTCTGTTCATCTTGTGTGTCTGTCCAAGGTTGCTGTGTCCACTCAGTCTACTTTGTCTGTCTTGGTATTGCATGTCGGTTTTCTCCCTTTCTTAAACCTAAGCTTTCACTGAGGAGTCAATTATTGAGTCACCTTTGAAAAGCAAGTACTCTTCTCTTAGTCTTTTCGCCATCTATTTTTCACTGTAGAATAGAAATATACACCAACAACACTTCACTGTGTGTAATAGCAAGACAATATCTTCTGTTTGATTTTGGTAACAGAATACATTTTAACTTCCCCTAATGCATCTTTTTTCCATTTAGCTGATGCACAAGAGACTGCTACCGCAGCAAGTGAGGTTTCCGATGAAAGCAAGTATCAATTTGCAGTTTAAACCATCCGAAAATACTTTTAAAAGTGCATTGTGTTGCAGCTTTAAAGAGGATTGAATAAAAAATAACTCTGAATGTGTAATGGGGATTCAAACTAAAAAAGAACAGTTAAGTAATACTTCTATTTCCAAAGCCAACATCACAAAATCTTTTAACCTGAATTTTTATTTGTGTATAAAAGGCCATTTAGACTATGTGTGAATGCACTTCAGATGAAACACTTGGCACTTTTAAAATACAATTAACACAGAGTGGAATAAATGCTAGATTTACATTGTTTCTTTTTTTTGCTGGGTTTTGCTCAGCTGACACAGAGGATTCTCTCCCTAATACACCTGTTGCATGCAAGTAGCCCCTTACATTTTTCACTCTGTTCACTGTTCTTTGCATTTGTCATATTTATGCCATTTTTTTGTCTTAATTCCCATTAAGTCATCCTTCATCCTTTTTTTCCCCAACTAGCCGCTTTCGGACCGTTACCTTTCTCACACATAAGCAAGTATTCTTATAACATATGGCGCATACTGAAATTATGCCTCAGCTTTTAGTAATTTAGGGTAGTTTCGACTAGAAAAGCCCTGTTCAACCCTCTTTAATTGAGTCAATTTCCTTTCTGTACGCCCTTTACAACGACTTAGTGGAAGACAAAGAAGGTCCTTATGGAGGCCCTGCCAAAAGCAAGTAACATCTATCAGTATAGAAATAGAAATAGATAGCAGGATTTTCTCTGATAACCTGGTGTCAAGTGTCTAGATTGACTGAACAGCGTACTTTTGTATCTATAAGTTCTCGCATTAGATTTCAATGCAAGAATTTGTATTAGCCTGAAAGTGACATTGTTTTTTACAATTATTGATTGATAATCTGCATTTGTTTAATAGAATGCACCTTTTTTTGTCTTCAGCTGCCCATCCAGACAACTACCAAGCACTGTGGTTCGAGAAGACAGATGATCCTGTGTCCGGAGAGACGATGCACGTCTACAAGGGGGGCTACTGGGAGGCGAAGGATCAAGGGGACTGGCACATGTGTCCAGACATCTTCTGATTACAGCTGAATCGTGGTCAGATCATGTGCAAATGAAAAGATTGGTAAGCACCGCTCTTCCTTATGTCAGAGGAATCAAGCCTGACATCAACCAAGCCTGAGTGTCTGTAGCTTCATCTGATCACCCTCTCCTGAAGGATCAGGGACATCTGGACTTCAACCCCAAAACTCCGTGTAGCATTTCAATGACAATGCTGCCGGCTAGTGTTCACAACTCCTTTTCACTGCCTCTCAAACACTGATGTTTTTCCTCTGCTTGCTGCCAGTTTAGGGTTCTGTGGTCCAACTGTTTTTGTAATATTTCTGCGTAAAACGTACTGTGGAAACATAATTTTACATTTTCTATAAATTCACATTTGTGAGAGGCATAATTTATCCTTGTGATTACAACATGAGAGTCACTTCAGTAGGCCTTTACAAATAGTTGATGCACTACTTCTTGTTGTGCATTTGTAGTTTGGATTATATTGCAGTGAATAGATTGGAGCACAGCACCTCTGCAAAACAAATATTAATCATACCCAGGGTTTGGAAACATCCAGACCAGGAACACTAAGTGCAGTTTGCCTTTTAATTTCCAGTGATTTGTGGTGCTTCTCTATTCTCTGAAGAGAAAAACCAACTCTTGAGATTTACTTAATCCACATATTAGCCTTTTCAAAATAGTTACATCCCCTTGTCCATTTGGACACGAGTGATTTTTTAAAAACTCCTTATGCATCCTCCAGATTTTTTTTAAAAATTTGTTTGTAGTGACTAATTCCAACTAGTTTATTTTGTTCTGTAAACTCTAACTTGTTCTCTGTGAAATCATAAGAGTGAGTTTTAAATGTTTACCTAATTTATTCCATATTTACTTTGTGTAGAGTTACAATAAAGTTTAATATATTTCACTTTATATTTTGGAATTAGTGAGGAAACAGATAATAATATTGCCTGCAATGTGTTGTAAATCATCGTCCATTTGGTCTTTTTGTTTATTTTTTGTATTCAAAAATTCACTGAAAAGACTGAAGTTGTGGGTCATTAAGTCTAAGAGCCTTGCTAGATAAAACTGCTCCAACCGATGCAAAAATAATAAACTCACTCCAGTGTGTATGTGCAGCAATAAACCCTGATTCTCTCCATCAAATGTTTTTTGTCTGGTGTCAGACACTTTAAGTAACAAGTGAAAGCTGTTCATGTCATGCGAATAGCTGGCTTTGAATACAAAGTTGTGCGTAAATTAGATTACATTTTTGTTCCTTTGTTTTGCCTTCACAATCTCTTCAAATTTACTGATCATAGCTTTACTCTTATTTAAAGATGCTTCAGTGTTTGTGTACTGAACTGAATTGTGTACTGCCTCTACTCATACACAAGGCACAAGATGAAATGTGAGTGTTCTGTGTGGAGAGAGCTCTAAAGTTGTAAAACCTGATTTGTTTTGCTTTCTTTTTTGTCTTTGTGTTTACCACCGTTTCGTGTGCTGAGTGGAAAACCATGTGGCTGATTTGTGGAAAATACAAAAATCAAGTTGATTTTTCACATCGAAGTGTACTTAAGAGCACAACATAATCTCGCAACTACTTCCACTTAAATGGGTTACAAAGAGGAGTAAATATTGTATTAGCTGTACTCAATGACGGATAATCTAAAAGCAGAGAGGCACTTTGATGATTTTCGCGTTGTTGTTCTCTGATAAAGTTTGACACTGCAAAATTTGCCTGTACCAACTAGAAAGGCTTATCTATTAAACCGATCTTCCCCACCGTAGTCCTGTTCCACTCAACCCTTGCTTTATGCAGCATTAAAACAGATGTCCATTTATTTTTTAATGAAGGAGTTTTTAGGTTTCTGTCTTTCATGTTATATTATATACTAATCATTATTTATGTTTGTTGAGAAAGTGGTTTTAATTGTGTGGCACCATTATTCAGTGCGTGTGTTCTATCTTTGTAAACCTTTTATTTTGCTCCCAGTGTGAGGACTAACCCAAATCCACTGTCCACAGTGCAAGGGCTTCTGATATGTCTCAGAAAGGGGTTTGAGATGTTGTTGCACTTTAGTATACTAGTATACAAGTTATATGAGAACTGGTATGTCTAATAAATGGACAGTTTTTATGATGGTTTCTGAATAATTGGTTAATTTAAGAGATTTTTTTTAAGCTCCAAATTCAATAACTGTAAATATATGCTTAGATTTGCAACTCTGAGCATATATTTAACATATATGTGCATATGTTCCCTGTCTTTTTAATGACGTTATTTTAGCCAGATTCCTCAATAAAATGACAGTTTTCAAATCTGGACCGAGATTAACCTTCTGTTTTTTCCTGATACAATATTACAGATTAATAATAATATAAATGTAAAGGCAGATACGTTTTTCATGTCAGCCAACTCTACCTGTTGTAAGACATCGTTAGAGGAATTACAATTGCAATTATATGAGGACAATCTTAATATAGTCACTTTTATGATTTTCTTTTTCAACAACATGTCAGCGTTAGAAAATTAAGGCTGATTTAGGTCGATTCCCAAATCCTTTGTAATTAATTAAGTACTCCCTGTCTGCCTCAGCACGTAAACATATATTTAGCTAACTAGACTTGCTTTGTCTTTTGGTAAATTACTCTTTACTTAAACAAAGTAGTATAAGTCACAAGATATGTGGTTGTATAATAACAACCGAAATGTCACGATGTCAACATGAGACTATTGGGCATGAGCTTCCTTATTAAAAGCTGTCAATTCGTATCTTTGAAAAGAAGAAAAACATGTGAATTGAAGTTGCATGACAACAAACAATAATGCCACCAACGCCTTGGGAGATACAGAGGATTATGAAGCAACAAACCGTCTGGGGTACGTTACGTGACTCCTCCCACTTGGGGACAGCGAGGCGTACAAAACGAGCGCCTCCTTGAATGACATCAGCACCTTTGTTTACTACCCGGGTGCAGCAGCTGCTAAAGCTACGTGTGCTTTGTTGAACATTTCAGAATACCTCAGCTCAGCTTCCAACGATACTGTTTTCCACACTAGTTGGAAACGTTTTTTTTTCTCTCTCTGGTTAATATTTAGGTAGCTTCCTGGAGAGCATGTCGTCAAACGCAGCTGTACAGGACTGCACAGATGCGAGGCGGGACAATGGAGAACAGTGAGTTAGCGACCACTTAGCGACCCTTAACCACCCTTAACCCTTAACCACAGCGTATCTCTGTTTTCTCTGGCAGTTTGCGAGTCTACCAAGAGCCTGAAAAAACCTTATTTCCAACAGTCGACTACTGTTGACTATTGTTCTAATAAACCCCTGCCGTATTTAACTTTGCATACTGTTTTTTACATGGATGTGCAGGGAGGCTCTGTCTGAACACTTCCTATTTTGGGCATGTAACAATGCACCGTGCATTACTTGTGTCATGTTCGGTTATGGTTGTGAGCATTGTTTTTGGTTTGCTCCCCACCAGATCAGCCGGGTCTTTGTCTGCCTCCAGTACCATGGACGTTGATGCCAAATCCTCCTCTCACAGCTTTAGATACAGTCTCAACTTTCCCTCCATCGGCCAGTGCATCATCATCAACAACAAGAACTTTGACCGAACCACAGGTGATTCTTAAATACCATTTCTTTTCATTTTTGGTTTCCATTATAGATATTTCAGACTAATTTTTATTGGCTAAGCATGTTTTCTCATTCAGGGAATTTGACTCCGGTTTCTAATTCTCTTGTGCAAAATTTTCCAAATGGAAAAAAACTAGGATGTAAGCTTATAGCTTACATCCTAGTTGGACTGAATTTAAGAGCTGTTGATGCCTCACATTTATTATATTCTACCTGCAAAAGAGTAATGTATGTTAATTATTACAGATATTAAAGTGGTTATACGGAGGCCCATTTTCTGTAGAGAGACAACTGTTCACTAACAAGAGGCTAGATTCAAAGATGCGTTTAGGACCCATTGTGCTTTATGAAAAAGCTGTCAGCTGAACTGTGCTGTTTGAGGTTATACCAGTATGTAGTAATAAGAGATGGGTTATATAGTCTGAGCATCATATGACAGTCTTATTGTTTTTACAAAATCCTAATTCCTTCCTCAAATATTGTTTGCCTTCTTGTGATCACAGAACTGTTGACCATGTGGCTAAAACCTCAAAGCTAAAGCTCAGTTCATTTACTGAACTGAAAGGATGTGGTGATGCACATCTTATCTAAATACCTCTGTTATAAACTTGTCGTTATCCCTCCTCAAACAGTAGGTGTGGAGTGTACTTGTTTCGGGAGCTTTGTTACTCGTTAATTTTTTCCTCTCTGTTAAGTTTCATGAAATTGTCACATTCTCTTTAAGAAGTGATGCGAATTCAGCTGAAGAGTTGGAGCTGAACTTGTTTGTCTGTCCCTTCTAGACTTAGTGTCTCACTTCATTATGTAATGTACTCTGTGTGTACACGGTGTGATCTGCATACAGAAAGAGCTCATGCTCCCATTTTTGGATGTAGTCAGGCGTCGCTTCTGCTTCTGATTTTGGTTTAGATTGAAGCAGCGAGGTAGTCATCTCACATTAACACCTTCAAAGGATGTGGACACGTTGTGGTAACCAGCATCTGCGTCAATAAGTCCTTTAGACGTAAACTCTGGCTCAAGGGAATCTTTTCTTCTTTTGTGTATGTGAAATTTTGAGTGCTATGTTATGTTATTATTTGTGGCTCACCAGGAAGTTCATACACCAGAATGATATGAGATACCACGCAGATACTTGTTGTTCCCCTACCACAAAATGCACTCTTCAGTGGATGTGATAAAACATTTGACTTTACATGTCCTTTTACTGTTTTAGGGATAATAATGTTTTAGGTAATTTCACACAATGTTTTCTTGGCTGATGTTCACTATAAAGGCAGTTGTTGTTACTGTCATGTTTCATCTGCCATTTCATTTTGTGATGTAAAGCCTTCATGTTTGTCTCCAATGCTCAGTTATACCTGAAGCTGTCTTTGTCTTCCTTTCACTGCACAATTTAGGCTTCAAAAGTTGATGTGCTTCCACTGAAAGAGGATCTTATATCCAGCTGAGAGGAGCTTCAGCATGACTGCAGCTGCTGTCTACTCTCATTGGATTGCTTTTACTAGTGTTGTGCTTCCAGTTTGGCACAAACCTGTCTAGCAGGGCTTGGAGAATATTGAAATTGCATCATCTGAGAAGATGAAGCATAGTTAATTGTTTTTAATATGATTATTTAATTGTCTTCTGCGGTGTTGGATGTTTAAAAATGAAAACCAGCTGTTTATTTACTTGTTCAGGTGTCTTTTGTTATCCAAGACAACTTTTTGACCATTGTTTGGTTGATTGGAATCTGGTAATTTTAGTTTTGTTTCTTTTTTTTTACATAACAGTCATCCTATATGGGACTACTGGCAATTCCTAAAGTTGTACAAGAACGTTAACAATGGCTCAAGTCAAGCATCCCAATAACTCACGATATGGTGACGTTAAACCTGTAAAAGACATTCAGCCTTCACTAATTTAATCATTTACAGCTGTGCATATGCTTTCGTTTCTTTCTGCCTGATTAGATGTTTATCAGGTTGAAAATGGGAAGGAGTTTAAGGTCACAATAAATTACATGCTACGAGTAAGGTGTGCTAAAATGGCACGTCACTTAGGTTTACAACACTACATAGTCAAATCATAAGTCCAGCTTGAAAAAATGCAACTACCTGAATTGTAAGTCAACTCTAAAGTAAACTGACAGGGAAGCAGGAGTTGGTACCTATTTGAAAATATCTTGTGAATTTTGTGTTGCCAGAACATGTTCAAAGATGTTGTGTGTGTGTGTATGTTTTATTTATTTTATTTTATTTTTTGTCATCAGGCATGAATCAGCGAAATGGCACGGATGTGGATGCAGCCAATGCAATGAAAGTTTTTTCAAAGTTGGGCTACAAAGTGAAGGTTTACAATGATCAGACGGTGGATCAGATGAAACAGGTTTTAATAGCCGGTGAGTGCAATGCAAAACTCGCAGTCCTACCAAACATATTCACACACATACTATCCATCCATCCATTTTCTGAACCGCTTATTCCCAAATGGGGTCACGAGGGGACTGGAGCCTATCCCAGTAGACGAACAACCACGCGCTGAAATGTGTTTTTGCTTCTCAGCGTCAAAGGACGACCACAGCCACTCGGCCTCCTTTGTCTGCATTCTCTTGAGTCACGGAGACGAGGGCGTGTTCTTCGGCACCGATGGCTTCGTAGAGCTCAAGTACTTGACGTCGCTTTTCCGCGGCGATCGCTGTAAAACACTGGTGGGAAAGCCCAAACTCTTCTTCATCCAGGTATTGTGAGATTTTCTCTTTGTGTTCACCTGTGCCAGCTCACTTTGCTGGATGATCTGAACGCATTTTGTCTGTTTGTTTGTGCTCTGAGCAGGCCTGCAGAGGCACTGAGCTGGATGGAGGCATCGAATCAGACAACCCAGATGACGGCACTACAAAGATCCCCGTGGAAGCAGACTTCCTCTATGCCTTCTCGACAGCACCAGGTCCCCCCTGAACATTTGTCCTTTACATTCTGTACCTTGTTTGACTCTGTATTAACAGAACTTTTACTCTATCATTTGTGTATGCACAGGCTACTACTCATGGAGGAATACTATGAGTGGATCTTGGTTCATGCAGTCGCTGTGTGAAGCTATCAGCAAATATGGAAAAGAATTGGAGATCCTGCACATCATGACACGAGTGAACCACAAGGTGGCAGTAGAGTTTGAGTCTATCTCCAATTCCCCAGGCTTTCATGCAAAGAAACAAATTCCCTGCATTGTGTCCATGCTGACCAAAGAGATGTACTTTTTCTCTTGATTTAGCCATAACATGAGAACGCTGAAGCCTGGTTGTCATTCATCTGCCCAGGAAAGCCTTTGGGGTGTGTCATCTTAAATGTGTCGTTCGAAATGAATATCACAAAAATGACACATTTCCAGAGAGCAGATGTGATGCAACACAGCAATCTCATTTCACCAGCTTGGCATTATAAGGTTCTTACTTTGTGGAGTTTATGTGGCATATGCATGCTTCGTCTCTTTATGTCAGCAGCCGGTGCTTCAACACACGTTACCTGGAAAAAAAGTTATTTTTAACGCTTTTTCATAAGAACCCGAACACTTCAGGATCTTCTGACAAAAAAAAAAACAATGGGTTCATTGAGTTGTAATGTTTCAGGGTAGAACTATTAGATGCATCTTTGCTATTTAAAGTACACATTTCAGAGAAATATTTCTGGAGCCATTTTCTTTCAATATTGGGAACCTGTTGTATTTGTGTAATCATAGAACTAATAATGAGCTTGACATATTTCTCAATCACTGTTGCATTGTAAGATGAGTGTATGAGTGGGTTTGCTACGATAATGTAACGTAACATTAATGTTTTGCTCGCCATTCATCTTATTTTCAATGTGTTATGTCTCCTCTGCCCTTTCAGTGTGAGTTCACCAGACTCGCTGAGCAATCCAAATGTAATGAGCCATTCTCTGGATTAGTTTGATAAGTGATGAGCTCACCTGAACTCGGTTAGTAGGTTTATTTGTGGTAAAGTAAGGAAAATCTTGTTATTTGACATGTAGGCATGAAACTAAGAACTTTGAGCCTTTTACACTTTCAACATGTGTGTGTGTAGACTTTTATCCTGTTTACCTTCAGTGAATGGGATCTAAAACAGCAGAGTAAAGGCTGACTGATCTCTGCAGCCATTCATTCTTAATGCTCATCCTCATATTCCATTTTGAGTTGTGATTAAATATCCAAGCTGGCCTCAAATGGAAAATGTTTAGGATAAAAAAAAAAACTAAAAAGAAACTATTATATCAGGAAAAGAGCTCTGGGGCTTAACTGACCAATATGATTAGAATAATAATAAATGTAGTCATTGATATTCAGACTTAAAATGAATTATCAGGGTTATTCTTTAAAATGTTTTTTGTTTAATTTGTTTTAACAGTTGATCCAACTGAACAACTAAAGTAATTTGAATATGTTAACTTGAGAAGAATAATGATGTGGCTTTCTCAATTAACATTTAGCCATTTGGATTTTAATTTGTTAAAGTGAGCTACTTGAAAAAGCTTTTGTTAAAGTTAAATAAATGTGTCTGGCCTTAAAGGTGTTGTGACATTAAGAAAATAAGGGGGGGGGGGTGGACACCCACATGTGGAAAATCAATCCATGCCACAGATTGTACATGGCTAAAAAAAAAAAAAAATGATATAGGATTTCAGAAGTACTGTGTTGTTTAACTCAGGTTTTTACGGACCAATATTCTTTTTCTTATTGTACTGAGGGGGTTTTACCTTTTGGATCACACAAAACACACTCTGCTGATGTTCTGATCCTGAGCTGAGGTTGTTTGTGTAAATGGGCAGTTACAGCCAGTAAGCTGTAGGGTTTTTAAAATGTTGAAATCATTTTTAGACCTGGACAATCTCACAATGCAGGTTTTCTTATACAAAAGCTTGATGTGAACATTTTGGGGGAATTTCTTCTACAACTGTTCTTTACACAGTGTATTTTGATCTTAGTGTCTTTTTTCACCTGAAAAATAAAGAAACACTCCCACTTGTTTACTATGAAGCAGTGGAGCTTTGTTTTTGTTGTCAAACATAACTTGTAACAGTAAAGAATATTAAGAATGAACCAAACTGTTGGTGATAAACCCAGCTAGTTTTGTGGTCATTTTCTAGAGTAGAGCATCTTTAACAGAGTGGAATCTATTTGTGTACACTGTCTTAAGTGTAAACACGGAGGATTACTGCAGATTTGGCTTGCCCTAGGGTGAGAAGAACTGGGCCACCAGATCCTAAGACTCAGAGCCAAATAAAACTGGGCCTCTGTGTCCTTCATTGCCAGCACAGATGCAATTCACATAAAACCCTTTTCACAAGCAACAGGGTGCTTACGAAATGCCTTGAATGTGGAAAACCACCATCTCCAGAAAACAAACGGAGAGTTTGAATGGCATGATCTGCATTTAACACCCCGATATAAATGCAAGATAAGTGTCATCTCTCCTTGTTTAATGATTAGACCGTGCAGTGCATGATGATTGATGACTGGTAACATCAGGGCCAAACATACCCTGATGCTGTGTTTTCATAAGGGTGAAAATATTATCTTCAAGTTTTGCTTCAAGAAAAAACTTCATTTTCTGTGTCTGACAGAAAACACTCAAGACATAAAGACCAAAAATTCACAAAGCCCTTTCTTCTCATCAGGCAGATTTTGATTATAATGCCACAAAATTCACATGATCAGCCTTGTTTTAAACCAGTTTGAAGTTTTTTTAGGTGATGATTTCCTGACATACAGCAGCCCTCATGTTAATTGTGGTATGTTTTCAACGTTTTGGGATATATTTACGAGTGGGTGGAGTTTCACTTTATCTGGACACTATACAAACGTCCACTTTCAAGAAACGCTTGAACTGATCTTGCATTTGCATTGCATTATGCAAGTATTCATATTTCTCTTTTGTTTGTATTATTATCGATGGTTGGTCAACAAAATAATTTGATGCAAAAAGTCTATGTTTACTGTGCTCAGCGAAAAATGGCAGTTTACGAGAGTCTCTTGAACGCACCACAAGTCCTCGCTTGTGGTGGGGTTGAAATTGGGTCTTAATGCTCTTTGACAGTTACAGTTGGCAGAGGACGGACTATCAAGTTGCGGACTTCCATTGGAGCCCCTTATTTAAGCATTCAAAACATCGAGTTTCTGAAACAGGATCGGCTTTCTCTTTAGTTAGATATGGCCAAGCCAGTAGATGTAAAGTTTGCGCTTTTTGATAGACCAAGAAAACTCCTCGAACTCAACAATGTGCCACGGCAGAGTTTGAAAAACTTGACTCTCCTGTGAACTCCGGTGTGAACCGCAGCGAGGATGGAGACGTCTCTCCCCATAGCCCCACACTCTCTGGCCCTGGTGCTGTCGCGCGTTGGCGGAGAGGATGAGGAGGAGGATTCCCCTCCGTCCGGGGCCAAAAAGCCTCAGCAGCATCACACCGGTTACGAGGTGTTCGCCAGCTTTAAAGCCGTCAACATGCAGCATTTCTGGAACAAGGCGCTGACCCTGGCTCTGTCCGAGGTCTTCTTCCTGGGCTGGATAGACCGGCATGTGCTGCTGATCGAGGGGAGAGAGGCGCACCTCCAGGTGCTCCGGAACGGCTGGACCAGACGGACCCTGAAGCCACCGCAGGGCTTCCACATCAAATGCGTAGGTGGGTGAGTGGTTTCGGACAAGGAGAGAGAAACCAAACACAGCAAGGCACTTATTTAGACGTGTTGTGATACGAGGGCAGGTGCTTGTGTAACAGAGAGGCAACACGGGGCTCAGGAAGTTTAGTAATCCTTGTTTGGAGAATGTATTCCCACTTTTGTTTGGTCCAAGTGACAAAAACAGGCAAAATTATCTAATTTTAGTGTTTCAAAATGAACTAAAGGTAAGTACTACTCCAAAACCAGTTGATCAAAGTCCCTAAAAGATATGTATTGGAGAAGAATAGACTTCCCCCACACCTCCTTTGTAGAGCCACACTTTGAGATTTTTGTAGGCTTTTCTGTCTGAATTACTGAGATTTACTAACAAAAGACTGGTTTAAGTCTCCAAATCCACACTGTGGGTCTTAATTTGGTTCACTAGGGCTTGGGAGTCATAGAAAATAAAGCTGTGCATTGGATTCACTGCACACTACAGAACTTGTCAACGCAGAGTGAGTTGGTAAGTTTTCCATACTTGTAATTGCTGACTGGTATATATATGAAAAAAAAACTTCTTTGCAGCTGTGAGTTAAAAAGCACTCTAACATTTTTAGTGCGGGTATATGAATCAAGCGAGGATGACAGCTGGTTGTGTGAAGCTAGTTACAGCTAGTCTGACTTAAAAGGGAGCTTCATCATCTCAGCTGCTTCATTTCATGTTGGCTGACTCATTCAGGAGAAGAGTTCAAGACCGAGGCCCAGTCCTGCTCCAGTTCAGTATTTCCTTAGTCTCGCTCCCCTTTATCAGTCAAAACCATAATTTATGTGTGCTCAGACAGGTGAGGACGACTCAAGTCCTACCCCTGAACCCATCAAGCTGCCTTCACAGGCCTCCCTAAGAGAGAGGCAACCCGTAAACCCGTATATGTTGTCTCAGTTTGGGTCGTCAGTTCCATAGGTGAAAAGCACATACAATTTGAAGGAATTAAGTCAAAGGTGGAAGGTTGTAAAGTTTTCAAGCCTTGCATTGGAACCCACAATTCTGCTGCAAATATGATTCAAATTGACAGTTTTATGATGAGTAAAGTTTACCAATATAAGCTATGTGGACAAATATCTCTCAAGTGTGTTTATTGAGCTGTATTTAAAAAACAAACAAACATATGTACACACAAAATGGTATAAAAGTCTTCTTAAGTTGCAAACTCTTACTTAGAGATCTTCTTCAGGACATAAATGAGTGCAGCCAGAACTTTTGTTTGGGGAGTTGAACTTGCAGACGCATCAAAGGAATTGTAGTTTTATGGGATAGTGGACTACAAGTTAATGTTGCAGAGGTGTTGAACTGTTCGTCACCAGTAGCGCTGAAAGCTATAAAAGCGTTAGAACCTCTGCAAAACTCATATGCGCACCAGAAAAGGTGGCTCAGCTCCACTGGTATCAAACACTGATAAGCTGTGGAATGTTTGTCTAATAGGTAATAACTCACAGAGTCTGACAATGCCTAAACCAACTTCATGTTGAAATTGGGATTTTTAATGTGAGGCAGATTTCCATAACTTAAGCCACAGTTGAAAGTCTTTAGACCTTAACTCTGACTTGGGCCAATAGTAAGATTTATATGGGTCATGCACACAGCATTGACTCTGATGAGCCATTTACTTCTGCATGCAAGACATTTTTTGTTTTAGATTTTTCTTTTTTATAACTCTTTAAATGTTGCCCCTTAATCTGTAATCATCTTTAAAGTGCCTTGTGCCTTTTGCAACATAATAATGATAATGTAAAAATGAATACCAACATTCTGTGGGAGGTGTGTGTGGCCTGTATTATTCAATGCAGGTATTCAAGATGTTTGTGAGTTCGCCAAGTTTTCTTCTTTAGGTATTCATTAACTAAACGTTCACTTTGGCTTTGATACAAGGAGTACATATTGTGAACAGTGATGGGAAATGTCATGAACTAAGTTTTGGACGGATAAATGTATCAAGCTTTTGTTAATGCTGCAGTAAAAGTGGGATGGATTTAATCATTTGGAACTTGGAAATAAAAATCTCTTGATTATACTGCCACATACTGTAATCACTGCAGGTATAATACAAATATCACAGTCTCAGGTGGCCTACATCTTCCACTGAGAATGTTTAATTTGGACCATGAGCCAAATAGGGACTGAATTGATACATTTTGACTAAAGTTGTGGCTTTTCAGCTGTGTGGAGACAAAGTGTTATTTGATAGACTATTCAGACTGATTAGCCGAGGCTAAACAATAGGCAGGGAGGAGGGAATCCTTAGGAAGGAAAAGTGCCACATTTGTTCAGGAAAACTCTACACAGTTGCATTCCCCAGCTAAAGCACAGGCCTCCACTGGAAGGAAAGGGATGGGTCTCTATAGAGAATTGGGGGAAATATTTGACGCAGCAGAGTTTTTTTTACCACGTATTCTGATGTCAGAGGTGTATGTGTTGTGTTGCCTGTTGCCTGTTGGGACCGGAATCCGTCTGGCTTTTAATTTGGTGTCGGCCTTCTAAATGGCACTGTGCATCTGGAGGGCAAACCACTGGCAATAGACTTCCTGCTTGTGAGAATGTCAAATAAGAAGGGAGAAAATCACAGATTTCATGTTACTGTCTGATGACTCATAAACACCAGTGCTTTTCTGATATCTGTTAAATGAAGTTAGAAGTTTCCTGCAAATCAGATTTCAGTTGATGTTTTGTTTCTATGTAATGTATCATGACATTTGGTACATAGAGCCATTCTCCTCTTAGGAAAAAATTATAATGATCATGTAGTACGTATGTGACAATTACTGAGCAAAATATTTAAAAAATGAGCAGACTAGTCTTTTGTTGTCTTAAGTGATGTCTCTTACTTATTAAAAAGTGGGTAAGGCCAAACATTTTGAAAGTTCAGCATTTTGACATTCTGGCCAATGGATTCTCAAAGGGTGGTTCTTTTCCCACCAAAAAGTGCTTTATCATATATGTGAAGTATAATTAAGGCCAAACAAAGAAGCCTAAACATTATTCTGTCCTGAAACTTAAAAGCACCCGTCACTATCAGATCACTGACAAGGCATCTTATGAATAATTTTTGAATTTATGTAGCACAGGATAAAATCGCCATCTGCATCATGTTAATTAAAGACAATACCGGTTCTTTGATTGAGCCTAAATTTGCATGAACAGTGACCACTCAGGTATGAATCGTCGTGCGCTGGTTCTTTATGCAGTCTCATAGGCACGTGTGGGCCTGTCCCTGCGTTTTGCTGCCCTTTGGTGGTTCTGAAGTGTTGATCATGCTTGCTCCAGCACTGTTAGCTGTGCCCTGCAGCTTAAAAGACTGAATCATCATGGATCAAGATCTGATTTGTGTGGTGTGAATTCTCAGATAACCGAGATTTCCTGGTGTGTGTGTGTTATCTGTAACTTTTGTGGTTGTCCCCTTTACAGTTCAAGAAAATCTACTGTGTTGTCACATTGACTTTATTAGAAAAATCCTCAACACTGCACAGGATGAGACCGATGCAAATGAAAATGTATGTGTTACCGTGAATCTGCTGTAGTGGATCGCGGGAATACATGTTCTGAAAAGAGGAATCTGACAGAGATTTGCCTGGAGTCAGAGAAAGACTTTGCTGTTGCGGTGCAGCACTGGAAATGTTTATCTTAAAAGTAATTCTGTTTGGTGGTCGGTTATGTTCAAACAAAAGTTATTGAAGGAGTTTGAAAGCCCACAAGCTAATGGGTAAGGTAATGGAGGCTTGATGCATTTACAATGTTTATTGCAGTCTAAATTTTAGAAACACCTTTTCATGGCTTGGTTAACGGGTCCAAATGATAAAAAACAGATATTTAATTAGTTTCCATGAAATAAGATAAAAGTATTGTGCTTTTTAACTTTTAAAACTGGTCTAAGCAAATGTTGATGATTTTAAACCACTATCTGATTATGAATTGGGCAAGTTATTTTTCTGCCCGGTTCATAATAAACTCTTTTTTTTTAATAGATATCTTACAAATATAAAAAACACAATACCTGTTCATTTTGGTATAGTTATGGGGTTTCTTTCTGTTGTGATCTGAGAATGCAACCCTTTTTTGCTCTTGGTGTAATTATGTCTGCTTATTGTTACCGGTTTCACATTTTGAACAATCTCCACGTTTTAATAATTGCCTTCAATGTTATACACAGCCCTTGTCTATGTGGTGTCTGTCAGCTCTCTATTTTGAGTATCTGGCTCTTTAAGAGAACAGCACTCAAAGCTAGCAGCTATGAGATCATCGGCTTGCGTCGTCATGGCAACAAAGGCTGTTGCAGTACTAGTGAGAAATAAGATGGCGGGCATAGTGTTGCTCTCCCTCCTCCTCCTCCTCCTCCTCCTCCTTTTCCCTTCCTCTCCTCTTTTTCTTTGGTATCGGGGGGCTGGAGCAGATTGGTTGTGACACCGTCCTCCCTCCGCCCATGCCTCGTCCGGCCCTCTAACTTTGCTCTTATTCTGCCCCTCCAACAGTCCAGTCACACTCCACACATGTGAGTCAGCGGGAGTCCGTTGGATGCTTTGGCTTGTTGCTTTTACTTGTTCCTCCACACAGTTAAGTGACTGAATCAACCGGTGGAAAGCACTGATGACAAAGATACAAACTAGAAGCCTTGAAATGATCCCCATTGGCTGTGGGCTTCTTCTTGCGGTCAGGTGAGGCGCAAAAAGAGGAAGGATGGTGGTTAAAGGGGCCCCCATCCTTCAAGAGTACAGCCAGTTATTCAGTGAAGTTGTTGAGGTAACAAGAGGAGGAAGGAGAGTGTGGATGGAGACATAGCCAGAGATCCCGAGTTCTTGCCTTTTCCCTGGACATCAAGTGAGGTCGGAATATTTATTCTTTTTGTCTCGTGTGTGTTACGATCTGTTGATATTTGCTCTCCTCTCTGCCTTATGTATGTCCTCGATCTCTCTCTCTCTCTCTCTTTTGCATCCCATCCTCCCCTCCCCTCAGCCTCAATCACCCAGACACAGACGCATGCATGCTCACGCAGAATCGCGCGCAGCAGGCGGATGCGCACATACACACTTTCTCCCTCTCTCCCTTACTCACACACTCACACACACTCACACACACACACACACACATACACACACATACTCACACACCCTTCCTGGAGGTGCTGGGAGCAGCTGCAGCATTAGCGTTGAAAGAGATTTGCCGTTGACTGGAGTTTGCATCCCCCCTCCCCCTTTTAATGAATGGATTCTATGGCGATCAGCTCGGGAGCTTCTTCCGTTGGATTGAGGGAAACGTTGGATATCTATTCTTGAATTTATTTATTTATTTCTATGCTCTCCATTTTTTTCTCCCCACCCACTGCTGGTGTGCTGTTGTCGAAAGGACGATGGGGTCTTGTGCTTGATCGGATAAAGATGGAGGTGAACGTAGTGTCTCCAGTGCTTGGCATACTGTTCAGCTTTCACTGCCCCTCGGGATGAATGGAGCTTTTATTTCCGTTGCTTTTTTTAAGCGGGCTCTTTTGTTTTACGGGGCTCGGCCGATCACTCCTGTGGTGAATTGAGCTATTGTCGAAGACTGGGCCTCTTAAGCTTTGAATCTGTGACCAGCCATCCATCTCCTCCTTTCCTCCCCCCCCTTCTATTCAAAAGGAACAAGCAGATCCTAAAAGCTCCACTGAAATCTTTTCTCACCGTCCTCCTTGCTTCCAATGCCCCATTTCCCTCATCTCTACCCCTGCCCCCCCACCTCTCTCCCGCTCCCTCCTCCCACATCAGAGTGGCTACGTAATGTGCCTCCCTACGCATGCAAATGGAGATGCTACAAATGGTGGCTGGGACTGATGTCGATGAAAGGGTGATGCCTTGTGCAATCACCTGCACCTCTGCAGCCACTGCCATCGCTCTAGATCCGCCTGGGGGAGCCCAGCAGCCGATGACAACCACCCACAGTGCGAACGCGGTCCTTTGTAGCTTGCGCGTGGATGTAAATGAGACGTATGAATGTGTGTGAAGGTGCACACTGGTTTCTGCCATGTCTGGTGTGTGATCGCTCTAGCGGGACGTTCTCACTGATGCGGGGGAGGCACTGAGCCTGAGGTTGGTCGACCTCCCCCTTCCCCACCACCCTCTCTCCTTCCCCCTCCTCCCCATTCCACCAATCCCCACAACCTCACCACCTTATCCCAGAGGCCCCCGGGGAGCGAAGGCCACGTGGTATAGGGGTCACGATGAAGAAGAACCGCAGCGGTAATCTGCGGCGGGCCTGGCCCAGCTCGGAGCTTCCCGAACGCCCGCTGGAGCACAGTCTTTCCCGTAGTGAGAAAGACATCCGTGTGCAGAAGCAGCATCTTCCTCCTCCTCCTCCGCATTTCTCTCCGTCCCCACCAAGTTATCGTGCGCCAGGTAAGTCTGACACTCCCCCCTGCCAGAAGCCCCACCCTCTGCAAGGCTGCCTAAAGTTAGGAAAGACCTGATTTGATGTGGACTTCAAAGTGGATCAAATATTTACGTGGTCAAGTAAGAGATGTCCCCCTTTTTCCCCCTCTTTTTCCTGTGGGCTGGTTTAACCTAATTTAACCACAATTTCCCTATATGTTAGCCCAAACTGGACAATCACTTGACTTTTGACATCTGAGACTGTGTAGCTTTTCTTACTTTCTGAAAAACTCTATCAAGCTGTTCATATTCACTGCCACATATCTTATTGACTAAATTTTATTATTAAGATTATGGGAACATATAATTTTTTTCATTTTTTATAATCTTTTTGTGTAATTGTGGCCTGTCTTGGGGTTTATGTATAGATAGATAGAGGCGGTGTTGTGTCAGATGTAAGTCAAATATTGTCAGTAACTCATGTTCGTTGTGTCCTCGATAAGAAAACCAAACCAAATTTTATTGCAGTTTTTGTTTTCTCCTCAACAAATTAGATGAAAAGTTGTTTAAAAAAGAAGACTCAAGATGGTCTTTAAGTTTTTCTTTGGGCTGACAGACTAGGAGATTTGGCTCTTCTTGTGCTTAATTTGAATCAAGCAAAGCCTTGAACAGCCACATGAAGCTTACGGGTTTTTAATACTAAGCAGAGATAACGTCATCGTGTTGCTTAACTGACCGTTCGGCTGAGTGTGCTGTAGAGGCAGAGTCCTGCACACAATCTGGCTCAAGTAAAAGAAGAATGGATGTCAAGTGACAAAACCTAAGAACGTCGATCAGTGATTCTAGGTCCGTTTGACTATTGTAAAGACGAACCAATAAACTGTAGAAATAGAGGGTTTGATGTTGCAGTTTCTGTATGGTTTTGTGTGAATCTCAGATGTAGGTCAGAGGACAGGGTCACTACAGCATAGATGCTGCAAGGCTGTATTCCGAGCGTTGCTGTACAACCTTCCAGCATGACAGATGTTTGCTCTCAGAAGAGCTCGAAGCCAGCCTTCTGGTTGTAGGATGATCTCATCACGCACTACCGCTGACAGCTTATGCCAGCCGTGAATATCTGTGTGTAAGCTCTCAGTGTGGTACTTGCCTCATCCGTGTCGAGCTCATTCATTCGCTATAGTTACGGTACACCTGAAGTACTGCTTTTGCCTGCTTTGGTTTTTCAAATGTGAGCTGGATCAAATGTGCAGGTTGCTAAGACTCAGGTGATCTCATGCTCTGCTTACCGCTGCTGCAGCAGCTGTCTTGCTTTGCTAACCTATGAGAAAAAGCAGCAGTGAGAGGCTAAGGAAGCCGAGAGAGGAGGGGAGGAGCCTTCCCAGGCAGCATGCACACTGCTGCTGTTTGACCATTACATCATAGCTTCACACGCTGCGCCTGCTGTTCATTCATGATCTCACAGTTGTGCTTGTGCCTCCTCGTCCTGCAGGTGATGTGTCTCCGATCAGTATGTCACCTATCAGCCAGTCACAGTTCATCCCACTGGGGGAGATCTTGTGCTTGGCCATCTCTGCTATGAACTCTGCCCACAAACCTGTCAACCAGGAGGCACTGGTGGAGCACCTCACTGCCAGCTTCCCAGGTAAGTCCTCTCACAGCCTCCCCAATTTTGTGAAACCACATAGGAACATTTCCACAGAGACATTTTGAAAAGATTATATGATATACATAATCTGGTTTATGTAATGCAATATCTTTTCATCTGGCCTTTGTTACCCATTTTAGATTCTTCATATCAGTAATAGTCTTAATAGTCTTACATCATGTTTGATGTTTTGTTTTGGAAAAACATTTGCAAACAATTATTATTTATGTAATTGTCCTCCATACTTAAAAGTTCAATAGCTTTATATATTAAAGGCAGTCCTTAAGAAATACAACATATTTATTTATTCTTATTATTCTTCCCAAATATTGCCTGAAATATCATTCGATTTTGGTATTTTATGTATTTAAAACTATTTCACATCAGCTGTTTGGACAACAAACATCTGAATGTGTACGATTAACTGTTAGTTGCCCATGTCACTCAGAGGGAAACCCCGTTGGAAGACTTGTTCCATAATAATAAAATAGATGTAGCCTATGTCTGTCTCTCACAAGCATATCGTGGTACAAACAAAAAACAGACATTTTTGAACACCTAAGAAAAAGAGTTGTTTTGAGACAAATGCCAAGCTACATTGAGGAGTTTGGACTCCATCATTGAACCTAGAGGAACTTTCAATCAGCTCAGAGCCTTTGTCACATGGGGTGGATTTAACACTCTCACTGCCATTATCAGAGAACACTCATATAGTGGCAGAGCAGCAGGACAACCTGAAATCAGGTGGACAACCTAAAAGGCTAATGGGAAAATGTTTGTTACTACAATGTAACTTTAATGGTTGAAATGAAAAAATACGTTTGGAGAGCAGAATAACATTGGTTTCCAACATGGCAACTTTCTCCAGTCTGTGGTGATTGGCTTTGAGCTTATTAAGCTCCTTCTGAGACAGGTTGGTTTGTTAACATCAGAGGAAAAAAATATTCTGATCAATGATAATAATTACCAGTAAATCTTAAAGGAAAATTTCAGAAACATTGATAGACCGTAGCTCCTTTAGCTAATAAGCAACCTGAAGCACATTGGTCATTCTACTTAAAAATAGTTTAAGATCGATAAATAAATTTACTATAACAGTGAGGTCCCCAAACTGACATAAGCGAGGCCACTAGCATATACATGTTTGAAGCTGTTCTGTACTGAGGAATATTACAAAAAAACAGCCTTGCTAATGTGCAGGATGAGAAACAATTCTTAAGAGAAATGGTAGTTGTGGTCAATGAAGCACCACTGGGGGGACACCAAATATTGAGAGTAAAAGATGACATCTTGCGAATGCCCACGAAGATGTTATACAGTATAATTTTCCAGAATGTATGTTTTCTTTTCTTTGTATATATGAATGTTTCACATATCAGAAGAAATCCCCTTTCAAACTGACTGGAGCAAAAATTACTTTCAACCTTACTAGCAGAACCTGTGTAAAAACAAATTTCTGTATTATAGTACTTTATTATTATGGCCACGGTAGAGGAGTGGGCCTATGATACTCAACATATTGTTGATTTCACATTTGAAAGAGCAAATTTGTCTTTTTTATTTATTATCATTTTTCATTTTCATTTTTCCTTGACCCAGACCATTTTAAATATTACATTTGAGAAAAATCTTTTAAACATCAAGTACTGAATGTTGTGTTAAATAAATATTTGTTCTCATTTACACTCAGGGAGCTAGGGCGGAGAATCATTTATTTTATCTAGAGTTTTTAAATTGCCAGATTGTGACTGCAATATTGTAAACAAAGTGACACACCAGCTTTTTTCACAAAGATTAAATCTTAGTGAATGTGAGAGGACATGGCCATATCTGAGCAAAGGAAGAGGCTCAATTAACTAACAGTCAGGTTTGTCTGCGAAAAGGGAGAATGCCACAAATTTTGATGTTATTGAAAGGAAAGGAAGTGTGTGTGAATTGAATGCAATATGTTTTTAACTATTTCATAAGATTAGATATAGAATATAATACATACATAAATCTACATCCACAAGTCTATCCATAGCAGTCTAGATATGCTATAGATTGATTTTTGTCATGTGCGAGCAAACATTTTCATTTTTTGTATATAAAATATTATCTATAATGTCTTTCCTACAGGGGTGCCTACACCCAGCTCAGAGGTTCTGCGACACACCCTGAACATGCTGGTGCGAGAGAGGAAGATATACCCAACTCCAGAGGGCTACTTCATCGTCACTCCCCAGACCTACTTTATCACTCCCTCCCTCATCAGAACAAACAATAAGTGGTATCACCTGGAGGATCGGCTGCCAGAACGTCAGCAGCAGCCACCGCAGCAGCAGCAGCAGCAGCAGCAACCTCAGCACTGCACCTCTCCTCAGTCTGGCAATGTCACACCATCCACGCAAGGCTGTCTAAGGGAAAGGCCCCCTCGCAAGAACCATGCAGACTCATACAATTCCTATCGGGACGACCCTTCCAGACAACATGCCCCTGCGCTTCAAAGTAAGTCACAGAAGGAGCACAAGGGAGATTCCTATCAAAATAAGCCACCCAAGGATCACAATGGTGGGGAGCCTCTTCCAAGCACATCGGCCAAGGAGCACCGGGGAGAGCCGCCATCATACCCCTATCCTCCAGCTCCCACTTCCCCTCCTATCCAGCCACCAACCCCTCAAGATCAAGCTGAGAAGAGCAAAAGTGTCCCTTCCTTTCCGTATAAAACTGACACTCTGACCAAAAAGAAAGAAGGAAGCAGTGGTGGTGGAAATGGTGAGAAGCAATCTAAAAGGTTTGGACTCAGGCTTTTCAGACTGAGTTTCAAGAAGGACAAAATGAGGCAGCTGGCCACCTTCTCAGCCCAGTTCCCACCAGAGGAGTGGCCCCTCCGTGACGAGGATGTGCCAACCACACCTATTCCCCGTGAGGTGGAGATGGAGATAATTCGTAGAATTAACCCTGACCTAACCGTGGAGAATGTCGCAAGGCATACGGCCGTGATGAAGAGGCTGGAGGAAGAGCGCACTCAGAAGAACAAAGCGGGGTCTGCCCAGCACAGTGCACGCAGCAGGAGGGGCAGAGGCCACCGGAGGGCTCCACATGGCAAGTCGCGCTCTCATAGTAAACCCCGGACGTCCAGGGGAGACCCATCTGAGGGTTCAAACTGGGATCTTGTGTTTATGGAAAGGGATTTCCGTTTCTTTAGCCACTCGTTAGTTCGCTCGCCTCGGGAAGCTATGTACACGTTGGAGCGCAGACGAAGTGGAGGAGCAACGTACCTGGTTCACAGCAACCCCAATATTACTGAATCCTACTGCCCTGTTACCCCTGAGTGGGACGTGTCTGGGGGGCTTGCCAAAAGGGGGACTGAGATGCCCTTCCCTGAGCCTTCACGTGGAACATGCCAGTCCAGAGTGCAAAGAAGTCATAGTCACAATCAGGACAGGAAGTCACGTCATGAACGGTCAGATCAAGCTAAAGAACGATCTCGATCCATGGACAACTCTCTTAAGGGCCCGTCGCTGGGTGCACCAGAAGACTTTGAACCCAGTCTGGAGGAGCGTAGTCATTACTACACTGATGATGGCACCTTGCGGGCCACACAGAAGTCCTCTCATTACTCAAGGATCATGTTCTCTGCTGCTAAGTTCCACTCTGATTTTAATGTGCCTGATTTGGGGAAAGGAAGTTTGGACGAGTCGAGGATCCGGAGTACGATGGAGAGGAACAAAAGCAGAGACAGCTTGCCGACGTACAATGAACTAATGGGACTTTCTCCTAAGCCCTCAACAGATGAGTACTTCCAGTGCAATACATCAAATGAAACAATCCTTACTGCCCCTTCGCCTCAGGCAAAATCAGAATATGACACATTAACCTCATCAGGGGGACTCCGAAAGGGCTCTCCAGCTGACCGACAAACGCCTCACCTCACCTCTCCTCATACAATGGAGTACAAAGAGGACTTGTCGGCAGCAAAGGGACAGAGCGGCTCGGCGCGACTGACGCCAAGCCAGACGCCAGAGCCTGCACAAAATGCCCGTTTGACGCCACACCAACACAACGTAGATCCTGGAGGGGGAGGAGGCAGCATGGTAATTAAGAGGAAAGAGATCTTCAGTAAGGACACTTTGTTCAAACCTCCACTTAATGCCTTGTCCACTGGCTACGTGGACAGCAGCTACACCAAGTCCGGCACATTGCGGAAAGCCTCACATGCCAAATCAACAGAGGCCCTAGACAATCCTGAGCCCCAGCAGCCTTCCAATTCAGCCACTTCCTCAGCGCCACCTGCAGTTTTACAGAGCTGCTTAGAGCCAACAGTCCCCTCTGCCTCCTTTGACTATTATAATGTATCAGATGATGAGGAGGAGGAAGAGGCAGAGGAGGACTCGCACAAAGAGTTGGCAACGGCAGAGGACAACAAAGACCGTGGAGAAGGGGGTGGTAATGGTGGAGGCAGCGGTGGTGGTGGAGAGGGAACCATGCAGTGGCTCCTGGAACGGGAAAAGGACCATGATCTGCAGCGGAAACTGGAGACCAATCTGACTCTACTCAGCCCCAAGGAGACAGAGAATAGCAGCAGCCAGAAGTCGGCCCATTCTGCCCGTTTGGACAGCATGGACAGCAGTAGTGTCACAGTGGACAGCGGATTCAACTCACCCAGGTATGAGCTGAAATGAATTGTATATTACAGAAAAATGCACGTGTGACCTGTCTCAAAGTCATGAGACAAACGTTTATGAAACTAAAGGGGAAAGAAGTTAGAGAGGTTTCTGGTTTTTAATTCAAATCAATCCGCCTCTTTCACACTTACATGAAACTTTCGTTTTGTGTACCGGTTTTCAGCCCTCAAACTTGCATGATACACTGCTGGCTCCGTTCTGTGTTGTCAGATCTGCAGTGTCGCCATATTTCCGTTTCTTCCTTCACAGCACTGGGTCTGATTCTGATTCTGACACTTGTCAGGGGAGAATCTGTATTGTAAGCCTCCAAATTTTGTGTTTGTGGTCAAAACCCAAAGTTCAGAAAAGTCAGTATGATGTACAGTACTGGCTGCTATGGATGAAACTTTGAGTGAGAGATCAGCCTACAATGATCATTTGTACAAACATTTCTGCATAGGAGCAGATGTTTATAGTGACTCTTGTGGTGGATGTTACTGGAACAGTACTTCAGGATCTTTCATAATTTCCTTCAAGTGGATCATCACCATGATTTCTGAGATGCAGGTGTTGTTTTAATGTGTTTGACTTCAATAATTGCAATTTGAGTTTAAGTGTCTTTTCACCAATCTGAAACCAAGCCAGAGGTGTGTCAACTTCTCTGCTCCTGCTCAGTACAGTTTTCACTGTCTATTGAAAAGATGGGGACAGCAGATGGGAACAAAGGTTTATGGATGTTTTATTTAGACTTTAGATTAATGCAAATTAACCTAAACTGTCATCAGTTGTGTCTGAAAATTGCAGCAGCTCATAATGCAAACTATGTACACGTGCCCTGCAGAATGCCCATAACTAGGATTTAGATCAGCACCCTTCTTATCAGGAGTAAAACATCATCAGTCCTCTTGTCAGACCTTAACAGCTGTTTTCAGCCAAAGATTTGTGTGTGTTGCATTGGAATGTCTTTTCAATCATACATACATGGGTGCTATATATGGGTGCTATTTGTGTTAGTAATGGTTGCTTTTTTTAAAAAGAGGTCATTATACTGATATAATTTCTCAAAAAAGTCCCCCCCTATTTAAAGAGTTTTTTATTAAGCTTAATTTGTATTTCTTTTATGTTTTATAGATGCACCTTAGAAAGGTTTAAACCTGTTTTATAGAGGACAGTTGTCATGGGCCATATTGCAGCTTTTTGGGGGGTTAAACTAACTCCTGGTTATTTTCTTTATTCGGCAGAACACGTGAAAGCCTTGCATCCAACACATCCAGCATTGTGGAGAGCAATAGACGGCAGAATCCAGCGCTGAGCCCCGGCCACATTGGCACCAGCGGCATTGGACTGCCATTCAGCTTTCGCGCCATCCCTGAGCCGCCCACCACACAGCCTGAGAAACTCCAGAAGTCATCGAACTGCCTGGCCTCCATCACCAGCGTCTGACAGGCAGCGCGGACTGAGAAAGTGACAGTGGTGGAGGAGGGAGGGAGTGAGGTGTTTCACCATTTTTGTTCCTCACTTTCCTCTACCAACACATACATGAACTCTGTCTTACACAAATACACACACATCTTCAGACTCCTGAGGATCCATTTACTGGGACTGTTATAAAAACAGGCATGGCTTCAAGAGACTGTTCCTACAGCATAAAGAACTTCAATGCAAAAAAGAGAAGAGCAGATATCAAGGCCGCAAAAGGTGCAGAAACTTACATGAAGTACCTGGATTTTGGTGACATGGACTCTAGTTTGGCTTATATCAAGATTCTTGATTACTGGTACTGGAAAGTAGTAGACTATAGGATTCAAGTTACATTTGGAAATATCAAAAAACTTTTTATATTGCTTAACAATACATGTCCGATTAAATGTTCTCCTTCCTGAAATAGCATTAAGTTCTTCAGGACAATTTCATGCATCAGCACAATGTCAAGATAATAAAAGTTGATCCTGAGAACAATGAATGAAAGATATAAAAACATAAATCAGCTCAGATTTGTGTACCGCAATGCAAATTATGTATGTATACTCGATACTTTTGATATCCTAATTATTATAATGGTGGTATTAAAGATGCTATGTGACCAAAATTATGTTTGGATGAATGTTCGACTGCTTTATCTGATCTGGTGCTTTTGGTCATTTCCCATTCATTTCTTTGACTCAAATGATCTCCTTTTTTTAAGCCCTTCACCTCCATGTGGGATGAAAAGCTTAGACTTTAAGTTAACAGAATTTTACACAGACATATCCATCTGTCGATTTCTTGAGTTTTCAGTCATTTTACATTATGCTGCAGAACACATGGAATGTCATTTGTCATGTTTAAACTAAATCAAGTCTCATGAAAAGGAAGTATATGTTGAAGTATATTATACCACTCAAAACTTTAAGATGGGGTCCATGTCAAAGGTTTATATCCAGTTCTCTTTGAATAAATGTTGACTGGGAGCTTTGTGGGAAATGTCGGTTAAATGACTATATAAGTGTGACCATAACATTTTCTTAGAGCTGATTCGTCTATTGTGGGCCGCAGAGTGCTATGGAGGTTAGCACCGTTGCCAAGAGGATTCCCGGTTTGAGTCCCCTAACTGGGACCTCTGCATGTTCTCACTGTGTGGGTATTTGGCTACCTCCCATTGTGCGAAACAAAAAACAACAATTAATTGATTGATTGATGACTTGAAATTGCCTGTACGAGTGAATTTGAATGTGTGTGGTTGTTCGTCTCTGTGTGGTCCAGTCATGGACTGGCTACCTGTCCAGGGTGTATCCTGGATTTCACCCATTATAGACATTAAACATAGGATATAGACATAGGATATATATGTTCTGAAAAGATTTCTACAATTATTTTTCCCACAGCCCAAATTCCTATAGCTCAAGCAATTGATTGAAATCAATAATTAGTGCTTAAACTAATGAATAAGTTAAAACTTATTTTTTTTAACTCTCTAAGTCTGATCGTTTTTGTTTAATGTATTGGCATTTTCAACAGACTGATTGGCAACAAATGAGAGAGTGGATACTCAACCCAAATGTTGTGAGATTGTAGGAAAACTGCTCATTTATCTTATACTGTATCTTCCATCAGAGAGTGAGTTAGTAAAGTGCCTCAAATGTGTCCACTAAAAAAAACACAAAAGAAAAAAGCTTTTCAGCACAGATTCATACCAGTGTTGGCTGTTTTGCATTCTGTTTGAAATGTTCTGAGCATCAATGTGTTCCAGCTATCTGTTTTGTCCTAAATTGGCATCTTTAGCTTCGTGTTCACATGGTGACATCAGTCTGGCTGCAGTTCACTGGATGAGCTGTAGGTGGAGACTGATGCTGATGGAGCCATTACACACTGCTGCAACAACGTTGCAACATCAAGAAACCAATGATGTCAGGCCCCCACAAGCTGAGCTCATCTAACACTACAGAGTTTTACTTCCTCTGGGGAATGTTAAGCATCTTACACAACATGAACAAAAAAGAGATTTGCTCACATTAAAAAAACACACCCAAAATGATCTGAATGACTTTATAACAACTTTTTAAAAATGTTTTCATATTGTTTGTTTAACCAGTTTTGTTCTCAGGACAGTCTCAATTTTGAAAGCATCTTTTGCGAAAATCTTAAGGCTCCCTTAGAGAACACGGACCTTTTAAAAGCTGAAATGTAGCACCCTCTACTGGTTTCTAGGAGGTGTGACAACAGCAGCAAACACTTCAGTGGGTGTTGCACCAACTGTGTTACAACTGAAGCTCACCAATCTGATCCTAAAAAGGTAAGTGGCTTGACTTTGCATACTGAAAACTGTTGTGTTAAAAAATGGGAAGATTCATACTAGGACAAAGTAGCACAAAGATCTTCTGTATGGAACCATTCAAAAGGTGAATGTCTCGTTAGTTTTGTGTCTTTTGACTATTTCTTTACAGCAGTTATTCAGCTACTAATATTCTCAATAAGAGTTATGGTCAAATGATGTAAATTCACATTGTAATGAAAACAGGAAATCTGATTGGACAGCTGTTACATGGTGAACTGACCCGTGGAAGGATTTGCAGATATTACACTGTGACCCACATTACAAAAGCCATGCTGGAATTAAGATCTGAAGCATAATTTTAGAACAGGAAAGGAAATATGATACAGTGATAAGATAACAGGAATAGGAAGATTTCAAATTACGTGAATAAAGAGTTAATTAAATTCAAATGGTAAATAACCTGAAAGAAAGGGCTTTCCTGTTATTTGCTTTGGCACAGTTCCAAATGGCCAAAATGAGGTGAATGTGGTTTTTCAAAACTCTGTGTAAGAAAATTTCCAATATTCTCATGACAGCTGCCCAGTCGTGGTTGTGCAATCTCCAATAAAAAAATGACCTTATGATAAATTATTTTATCTTGAACGAGAGATTAACTAAATATGAACTAGAATGCATTTTCGCACATTGATAAACTAAACAATAAATTCCTTTGAAGATTGTTCAGAAACTAAATATAAGCTTCTGAAACTAAGGTATACTATTTTTCTTTGAAAAGTATGTCTTTGTAACATCAATAAAAAAATTCTGAAAGCTGCAACCAACACCACTGTAAAAAAAATGTACAAAAAGCTTGTTCCCATTTATAATGCTGCCACTCCCTCTTACTATCTTTAAACGTTCTAGCACTGGAGATTTGAAGTGATGAGGCTTCTCAGAATTGATTTAGTCCTGCTCTTCCTGCAAACATGGCTGGTGGTATTCAACGTTGCATATCTGTTTTGTAGTTGTTTTGTTTTTTGTTCCATTATTCTCTGCATTTCCAGTACCTACCCTCTCCATTCTTTGCGTGCAGTATGTGGTTTTGCATTACCTTATTTACAAATGCATGGGCGTCTTTGGAAACTAGGAAATTTCAAAAGCAGCTTATGTGGCTCATAAAAAAACAGTGAGCCTGTCACTACAGAAGAGTAAATGTATTTCAGTCCTAGTTTTCCATTGCAGTTTCTTTGTATCCACCGTTGATGAATAAAAGCTCTTAATGCAGCGCTGTCTGAAGTATCAGAGATCACTGATGTCCAGCTGTTGCCTTCATCTTCCCCGTCACAAAGTGACTTCAAAGTCAGCCTTTTGTTGCTGAAATGATCATTTAAGATTAAATCATTTAAGTAGACTGAGTAATCAGTGAATTTTGTCTGTTGGCTTTATTCTCTCTCCCATCTTTTGTAATTGCTTCTGGGATTAATTAAGTTATTTGATAAAATAGAAAAAGTTTCTGTTTTATTTAAAAATTGAAAGAGAAAGATAAAACTGATACACTATTAAACTTTGAAAATCAACCTAACATACTGATGTTGATCCCTCGACACCCAATAGATTAAATAAACAAGCAACTAAGTGAACGTGATCTAGAATATTTTTTTTAATTTACCATTAGTTTGTTCCGTTGTAATGTTTGAACCGCTGTATTTTTGTATAAATATTGAGTTAAAAAACAACATTCTAGAGTTTGACTAATCTGTTTACAGTCTTAGGACTGCAAATCTCTCCAAACAAAGTGAAATGAGTATAAAATGTATAGTTGTGGATATCGTTTCCATAATGTCACCGCTGCACACTATCACAAGGGATTTAAACTGAAAAAGTCGGTATGTGCCTGAAGGTAACTAGTTTATAAATTAGGTTTATCCAAAAGGACAAAAAAGACATTTTCAAATTGTCTGAGACAACAAATACACGCTGCCATACTCAGACCAGTCAACTTTATGAGATTTATGTTAAACAATTACCCTAACTCCAACCATCCATTTCTTACTGTCAAAACATCTTATAAAACTAAATATATCTTTACATCAAAACACACCAGAGAGATATGAAGCACACAGATTGGTTGATCGTGTGTGTATTTTAATGAGTGATTCAGAGGATTTGGTGTCAGAGTCTCTGAACTACAAACACAGACATGGAGAGATAAAACAAAAAAAAAAACTATAGTGGATCAGGGTCATCTGGAGCTTGGCACATACAGCAAAAAAGAGATTCAACTTAAACACCAAAACATACAGACATACACACGTTTCTCTACGATCAGCTAAACAGTGACGCTGATATTCCTTCAACTTCTTCATTAATTTGTCTTCATGCTCCAAATATACAGAGAGAGGATATGTTCAGATGCGGCCCAGTAAATAAACAGAAAACATGATTAGGCTGTGTAAGTGGATGCATGTGTGTGTATGTGTGTATGTTTAAATATGAGTATCACTGAGAGCAGCTACAAAAAATACATAAACACACATGCACTGTAGACATTATCTCACATACAGAATATGCTACGTACTTTTCTTTACAATAAAACCATTCAGTATATCCAAAATTTAAAATAAAATAAAAAAGAAATTAGCCATAAAACCTTGAAAATACTCCACTTATACAAGAAGACACCTGTGCAAGAGCATAGGAGCAACCTGTGATAGCATACATTTGTTCTAAGGCAATATTTTAGTTCCACAGGACTAGAGCTGTTGTTGCAGAGTGCTGTTTGCACACTGGCTGTATCTCCATTTGAAGGACTTCATTCAGTTTTATATTAGCACCATAGGAGTCTTTCGTTCAGTCACTTCCTTCCAAGAGACAACTGTGAAAAATATTCCCTTCTGATATCCACTTAGAGAAAAATGGAAACATCAGTGAAACATACATTACAATATGGTGTGAACGCAAGAACACAACAAAACACAAGGCTTAACATTAGCATGACAGATCATTTAGAAAGTCTCCTTTTTTTTAATTTGTTCTTTCCACTCCACATAAGCTTTAAGCAAAAAGGGGAAAGGACGGGCTTGAGTCTTTTGTCTGTTTGTTTTTTTCTCCAAACACACACGCACACACCCCATGCACACACACCAGCAAACATACAGTAAACACAGCGGGTTTATAATACAAAGAAATAAAATAATCTGTCGCCATTCTGAGCTGGGCTGAAAAGGCCAGTTCCCAGGCATCAAAGGCAATAAAAATGTCTGTCAGCAGTTTCTTTTGAGTTGCTGTAGGTATAAGCAGCTGTCTTATAACAGTAAGTTGCACGGTTCAAGGAACAAGAAGTGACAAAAGGCTCTGAAATCCTTTTTTGGATACAAATCTTTAGTTTCTATAGCATCCATAGTTTCTACATATGATTATTATTGGAGAGTGTGTGCTTCTAGTCTTGTTTGTATTTGTGCGACCATGAGTATCTCCACTGAATTGTTCCTCCTGCAACCCTCTTATTGAAACTTGATATTCCGTCATCAAACCGTCCCCCTCGGTGAAAGGAGCTCATGCATTGTTCAGCTACTTTTCCCCACACACCTCACCGTCTTTACAGTCTCACGGCAGAGTGCAAAGACCTGTGTGGAGCTGCAGATGGAGACAAATGACAGTTTTCCTCCAGTCGGCTGGCCAACATTCACATCTCTCTGTGGGTCAGAGGACGGGATGATTTTCCTATTATGACAGACAGTGACTGTGGCTGCATGGAGGTCAGAGGTCACAGGCTGGGCCTAGAGTCACTTCCTGGCGTGGAGGTTCTCCTGGAACTTGGAGCTCGTGTAACGGATGTGAAAGCCCTTCTTACTGATTGTGTCATCGCTGTGGAAACGGATCAGCATAGAATCTCCTGGAGAATAAATCCCCTCTCTAGGCTGAAAAAGGAAGACAGAGGGAGAGAGGTGAAGGATAGCGGTTGCTTAAATGTTTACCAGGGGTAATTTGAATCACACACATTGTACAGGTGTTTAAGATTTTAAGGGTTTCGCTTAACCATCAGTACGAAAAGAAATGATTGATCAGTGTAAATGTTGCAATCTGTACTTAATTTGACAAAGATCCATTCATTAGCCGGAACACAAATTTGCTTTTTTGTTTGATCTCTGTCACTTACTTTCATAACAAATGAATTGAGAAGTATTTTTTTCTCTATTCAAGTTTATATAATTGTATGTAATAACTGTTTTTACTTTTGGGTTGCTCTTGAGAATTACTATTAAAGACACAAAGTTTTTTCAAACATCTCTGGAGACAGAGGGGAAGAAATATAATCAATACTATATGGGTTACTGGACAGTTCTGATGATCTGATATCAAAATGTAAATAAAATGACAAATTGTTTAAATGTAATGGCTTTACAATATACTAGCATCCACTACAAATGCAATAACAATTGTGAGCAAATAGCTGTACTAGCAAAATATTCTGTATGGAATCTTCTATGAAGAACCCCACTAAGCTTACACAATTCAGTAAAGGATGTGAACACACATATAGAGCTTACCCCTGAGCCACAGAAGCGACCCAAACGGTGTGAATCAGCATTGTTTCCATTATACAGTTCAATATAGTCATAACCGCAGTCAGCCTCTTCCTCCACCTCAAACGTTGTGAAGCTGAGCTCGATGCCGTAGCCCTGCTCTGCAGTCAACAGCCACTCGCAGTCAGTGTGACCTGGGTAGTTATTGTCCCCAAACTGAGCATGGGAGTACAGGTTCTTCTGACGAGCATCTGCTTTCAGACGACCGCCACACTCTGAAACAGCCACAGGTGGGGGTATAAGTATTGTGAGTTAAAGGTTGATGCATTTTGAGCATCCCCTCATGAACTGTAGTCATACAGCTAGTGACGGGATCATTATCAGATGGATATTCACTATGTGGGTGCTGTAATGAACCACTAGGGGGAGATATTACTCCTTAAACAACAACAGACACACTACAGTAGTGACAGTTGATAATCCTACAGCTGGATAAACACACAGTATTGCATATATTAAGTTATAGTGATGAACTCATTCAAATGTGCACACCTGTGGTATGTGTGGCTTGAAAGCCCTTCCTTTGTACTGAGGCGTCAGAAATGAAGCGGAGATACATCTTGTTACTGGTGGACACCAGTGGCTCAGGAATCTTGCTGCCACACAGTCGACTCAAGATGGCTGATGTGTCGCTGTCCCCGTCAAATGCTTCCAGGTGGTCGTAAGCACATTCTTGATGCTGCTCGATCTCAAACTCAATAAAGGCCTGCAGGAGGAAAGGCGGAAGCATTCATTTGATTTGATTCATTCAATTTAATACATAAAAGTATAAAACTATGTTCAGAATATAAAACAAAGATACACAACATTGACATGTCTAATTAGATAAGTTAAATGATTACATATTGCTGCTTGTTTTCTTCTAAATCACAACAACTAGCATTCACATGCCTTCCTTCTGAATGTGAGTTACAATTCTTACATGAAACTTTACCCTGATTCTAAACTTTGAGGAAAACTGACCTTGGATAATTCTCAGTGATATTCTTCTGGGCTTTAGTTTAATTCAACTGCAGCACCAGCAATGTAATTAACAACAATATAGAAGGACTTCATTTAGCAGTTATAAGGCCCTTATTTTAGCACTTTATTCATTTTTTTTTCATCCCAAACAAACAAAAACTATTTTCTAATTTGTCATCAGAACTTCTTTTTTTGAAGAAAAAGAAAAGAATCTATTTGCTACCACAATGCCTATATACGAACATTCACGTGTCACATATCACACAACATAATCCAGTCAAGTCAGATCACGTTGCAGGCCACTTCCCCCCACACACACACACTTATTTATTTATTCAAAAGCGCTATATTGGTCGTAATGTCAAGCAGATTGTAAGGGGAAAAAACACAGTGAAGGTAGGCAGATATCAAATGTAATTACAATGAGTAATTATGAGATTTTCCAGGAGTTTTCTGCAGCTCTGTTGAGAGTTTTGACGGCCAGTATTTCTGTTTACCATGCTCTAGTAAAGTGTGTGGCTTTTTCTCAGAAAGTGTCAGAATCTCTCTCACCATGTATTTCTGGCGTGAAGCATTACAGGCTTCATTTGGCGTTTTCAATCCACAAAGCACGTGGCACATCATCCACACTACCCAGTGTTTAAAGAACACTTTTGAGTTTATCCAACAGAGGCAGAACTTCGCATCACAGTTTGTGAACGTCACTTATAATTGTGTCTGGCGGTATAATTTATTCATTATTCTATACATGTGCCTCAGCTTCGAGAATGTGGAGACGACTCTGCGAGTGTGCCTCACATTTTGTGGTTCTGTCTGCACATTGAGGACCAGATGGCCACGGCCCAAGGCCTCTTACTAACGCATGAGCACACGTTTGCAGTTAACCCAAAAATCCGAATGTGCACCTCTTCCCCTTTACAGTTTAGAATTTTTAAGTGGAACCATGAAAAGAAGGATGGTCTTGTAAAAAGAGGGAAGAGCAGTCCGAAGCTTTAATATCCAGTTTAATCCTGCACACAGACCGGAGCATTGTTACAAGTGAGGGAGGCCTGCCAGCCATGTGAAGCACGCCGCATTTGATTGCACACTTACAATCTTGACTCTGTGTCCAGGCGTGGCGATGATATCCCAGGTGCACTCCTTACGACTGGGATACTTGTCTGGCCAGTTAGGGCTGCTCAGTGTCCCACTGGGGCTGTGGATTTTATGCTCACACTCCGCTAGACGCACACGGGAACAAAAAAGCACACATAGAGGAAGTCAATATCTTGGTTGCACGGGAAATCACCAGAGGAAATGGAAAGGGAAATAGGAACAAGAGAACCAAAGAAGAGAGAAAGGATTTCAAAGAAACACATCCTGGTCACAAGTTTGGAGTAGATTTCACATCTACACACATGCTGCACGACCACTACTGCAGCAGGACCTCCTTACAGCACAATATAAAGATGCAAACAAATAAAGACAAATAAGAAAAAAAATCTCAACAAGAGCTTGTATGAATAATTTATCTGACAACAGTTTAAAGGAATCCTCTATGGGCCTGTCCCGAATCCTTTGAAGCCTACTACTGACGTAATAATCAGCATTCAAGTCAATCTTAATCTTTAAATAATTACACATGCATTGAACCAGATATCCAGAAAAATCCACAAAATTGTAAATAATAAACAGACATTATTTATGAGGTGGAAATATTCATGAAAAATGTAGACTTTTGATGTTTTTTGTGCCACAGCTCATGTCTGACAGCAGCGAAGGTGACACACTATCGTGTAACACGTTGCAACTAAGAAGAGTCTGAATACAATTTTTCACTGTGATAGCCATTTTCATAAAAAAAGTTCCCTAAAAGTCTCACTTTCAGATGTTATAATGACATCCCTCATATGATGTGTTAACAAAGTGTAACAGGTTGTTTGAGTGTCTGTCGTCTCATGACACATTATTATTCTAAATGAAAAGTGTTTTCAAGCAAATTTGTACTTACTTACTTATGCAAACGCATAACACTGTTAGGTAATCTTGCTTTTCAACTTACTATTAAGAGGCTGTTCAGATCTCAGTTCACAGTTGTTCTTGAACACAGTGCTTCTGCCGCCAATTTGGTGTCTTAGAGACTCTGGCTGAATACCTCTAACGTTTCATTTCCTGGTTTATTTCCTGGTTTAGGTTGAAGCCTTTCAGAGTTAATAAATAAAAAGGCAAAGGCTTTAAAAGCAGCTCAAGTACATGTGGTGTGAGTTATATACATGCAATGGATTTGTGAAGGTGTTGGCAGGCAGAAGCCATGTTTAAGACAGAGCACCATGTGTTTAACCCTATAATGCCATTTGTGTCACATCTGATACACGCAGTTTCTGATATGCTTTGCATCTGAGACCTTTTGCATCATTTAATGGCAAAACCTTGCTCAAAACCCTGTTGTACACAATCAGATATACCTGATAACAGTGGGCAGGGTTTAATGGCTTAGTGGTGACAGCCTTCTTAAACGTATCGAACCAATGCATGAAATGGAAAGATAATGTATATGTGTTTCGAGAGGGCTTCTTTAAAAGAAGATGTTTGAATACAAATCAATTATTGGACACACAAAGCAGGGTTTTTGAAGACCCTCATATTCTATGGTGTAAAGGCAATATATTTACACAATGCAGCTTTCCTATCTGGCAATGTGTTATCTGACAAGGCAACACAACCAGTTACCAGTACCATTATATCAGCATGCTACAATTTGCTAAATGGATAGCACCATTTAAGTCTAATATGTTAATTAATTTCTTAATTTATTATCCATATTGTTTAAAGAGTAAATGAGGCTCTTAATACCAGAAGAGATGTTTATTCTCTCTCCCCAAATGTCAATTTGTAGCTTTCTGTGATGTTACACAGTGCCTTCATCATAAAGATTTGATTAGTGATCACTCCAGCATGAACAGCCCATGTCATCCAGTCCAAATTTCTATCCTCACATGTCAAAGCTCTAACATGAATGCTGAATATATGCTCATAACCCAACAGACACAGGCCTTGTCATGAGAGCGTTGATCTGTATGACTCTTCAAGGCTACCAGGTCAAGCCAGCCTCATGCACGTATGAACACACATATATAGAAAAACGGCACTATATGTGAAGCTTTTAAGCTCCCAGATGTTTGAAACATGAGTCCTTTAATGGGCAACACAGGGTGCCTTTAGGGAGGTGTTCATGTGAGTGGTGATGTGATGTTGGGCGGTGTGTGTGTTCAAAAGTTCAACTTCAAAGAGCTCAGTATAACATGTCAATTCAGAAGTTGTTTGCATGTGTTTGTGGTCATGTGCAAACAGCTTGCCCATGTCCTCTGTCAATCTGAAATGTTTTCCACTCTGCATGTTTCTACCTCATACACAAATATCACAGTGAGCAGTTTTAGTGACCTACAGACTGTATTTAGGGATGGCTTCAGAAAGAGTTTCAATTTTGTTGGGACAATTGCAAAATAAGTATCAGGTCTTTTAAAGTAAATCACAACACTTGGATTTGATTTGTCATGGATCATTAGTGACCAAAGAAGACCAGCCTCTGGGCTACAAATGCATTTTATACCAGCGTACCAGTAGTATGGCAACAAATAAACAATTACCTGAGCATTTAACTATGATAATAATATTTTCATTATGACAATACAGCATGTATGAAACCTTTCTGTGTGGGATTTTATTATCACTGTCTGAAAAGACATTTTTTCTGTAAACTTTGTACAAAATGTTTTTTCTACATCTTTGCACCTTTCAGGCAAGTGTGAGTGAAGCGAAGAATTGGTTCCACGTCAAACTTTTGAGCATAAAAGGGCAAACACAGTCAAGTTGTGTTTAATTACCCGTTTAAACCTGTCATTTTGGAATAGCACAGGTCAAGTCACACATCATTAATTTGTCACAAGTCTAAAACAATAACAGTCTCACGTTCTTCACATGGTTCTCCAAATCTTCAAATGCAGACGAGTGAACTTAATTTTTGTTATTCATTTTTGGCCATTTTAGTAAAGTCTGAATTTGACCTTTGACCATTCAAAATGTTTCCCTAAATGGAGCATGGGGGACCAATTGAATGGCTAGGTGACTTTTGCTTTTTCACTTCCAAAAGAACAGAGTTCCATGACTCTACCATGGAAAAAGATGGAGTGTGGTCAAATGGCCGGGTCAAGGCTGGACACTGGTACTCAGTCTTCAGGCCTGATATTTTTAATGCATTCGGAATTATAGCAGCATTATAGCAGCACACTTCGCTGGATTGTCCTGTTTTGACAACTATAACCATACAGCGTCACTTTGTGCAGTTAGTTTGAATTTTCTATACAAATTTCCTGAAGCAACGTTTTATGCTCACAGTCTCTGTGCTGACTCTTCTTGATTTAAAAAAACAACACATCTCTTGTGCAGCCCACTAAGGGTTACTAAGATTGGAAATTGCACAGTCAAAACAATGGCAAAGCACCCAATGCACTTAGTACAAGTCATTTTGGTGTGCAGTGTGCATATATGAGAATGGTACGTGTAAAATTATTATATAGATGCCTGCATCCTAAGACTCAGGCTAACAGCTTAGTTTATAGGCTTAACATGCAGAAATATATCGTGAATAAAAGCCTCCCTGAAGTGAACCAGTTTGCTATGATATTGATATGGATGACTACACAATAAACAGTGACTTTTAATAAATGAGCACATGATCTTGTGGATGCATTAACAACATGCACATGCAGTCTGTTGCTTTTATGCAAATGTGCATTTGTGTGCATGTGTGTGTGTGTGTATGTGTATGTGTGGCGAGTGCATGTGGAACCCACCTTCCTTACAGTCATGTTTGTTCTCATGCAGAACAAAGCCATGGCGACATTGACAAACGTAAGAGCCCACTGTGTTGATACACTCGTGCTGGCAGCCACCGTTGTCCTTGCTGCACTCATCTTTGTCTGTGAGAGATACACATGCAACACATAACTCATGTGGAAACATCGGAGATGAAGTGGAAGGAAGGGAGAGAAAGAAAAAGAGACAGCAGGACGAGGCCTCAAAAGAGGGGGAAATGATGAGGAGAAAATCTAACTAGGCAGGTCAGTGACGTAAGGGAAAGTTATGGACGTGGGGAAGACATTAGCATGCTCAAACAGAAAACTATTCAGCTGTCAACCTTCCATCATAAGGCTGAGAGTTAAAGCCCAGAGGGGTGGTAGAAGAACCATCCCAGCTTTGCAACCCAAACTCTCACAGAAACATTGAAATATTTCTACAGGAAAGGTCACAGATAGGATTGTGTTTTGCATATAAAGCGCTAATCCTGACAGAGGCTTTGATTATCAGTAGACCCTGAAAAATGTTGTTAGTTGGTGTATAACTGGTGATGCTGACTGTGTGAGGTCAAAGTCACAGCTGCTGTGTGGTCACTCTAAACTCGTGGTCTGAAACATTGCCGATCATAACAGATGTTTTCAGAACAGCTGTGTTTTCCTCGGGTCAGACGATCACTGCTCCATCAGTCTGACATGTTCCCAGGGCCAACTGAGGAAAACATAGTAAATTCTGACATTCGAGAAGACACATGTCTTCCTTATTTCCACACCCTACCACAGCATGCTATAAACCAAGCAGGAACAACATCCCCATTCAGATCAAATTAACCGATTTTATTCATACCATGGTGTTTTCAAAAATCTATCTATCTATCTATCTATCTATCTATCTATCTATCTATCTATC